GGAGAAGCAAACCAAGACAGCTGTCTGGCGACTTGGAAGGAGGAGCTGAGGACTCAGACGCTCCCCCACTGGCCTCAGCCACCACAGCAGGGCTGTGGGGCTGACACCCTGACAGGTCACAGGTGCTGCTGCGGTCACGGGGGAGGTGACTGCAGACACGTGGAGTCCGTCGTGACCCTCGTTATTTGTTCCTCTGACGGCCTCAGACCACTCCTAGGGACTGGGCAAACCCACTGCGTGGCCCAGGCTCTGGGGCTGGCCCAGAGCCGAATGCAAGTCTCTGCTCTTTTGGGTCCCACCTGTGTCACCTCTCGGTGCCCCCAAGGGTCGGTGAGATTAAACGACGTGATGCCAGTGAAGTGCTGGGTGCAGCACTGGCGGAGTGGGGCTCGGTGACCATGGTGGACACGTGGGGCCTCCCTCACCCTCCTGCTCAGAGAGAGGGAGTCGGCCACGGCAGCCCAGCCACGCGTCCCCGGGGAAGAGTCCACCCTGGTGAACGAGGCCAGCGGTGCCCCCACCGGCCCTCTGCTCTTGCCTCTGATTCAGTTCAGTCTTCCAACTTCAGAGGGAGACTGTAGCCTGGAATCACTTTGAGCTTGAGCTGGAGACTCAGGGAGCTGCGTTTGGGGTGGACAATCCCCAGGGCCAGGACAGGGCTCTTGGGGAAAATGGACAGCTGTCCCTTCCCCCAGGGATGTTACACCTCCTGAAGTCACCTTGCCGTGCAGATGGGGCTCGTTCAGAGAGATGTGCTCCGCCTGCGCTGCAAGAAACACTCTCCAAGTTCACGCGCCTGGCTTCCCACAGCGGGATGCCAGACCTTGCCCGGGAGGAAGGGCTGCCCCGCGGGAGTCCGCTTTACTGGGGGGTCCCACCACACGCACTCGTTTGCTCACCAGACCCCTGTGTACCAGGCAGTGCTTCCCGGCTGCATTGCTGAAAACCCTGCAGGGTCGCGCCTGCCGCATCTGACCCAGCCAGAGGGGCTGTTGCCGGTCTCCAGGGACGCCTGCAGGCAGCCCCCTTGAGGCATGACTCCCCTGAGGTTACAGGAGGGACCTAGAGTCCCTCACCCCTCCCAGAGGACAGCTCCCGCCTCCTAACACACACAGGTGCGCGCACACGTTCCAGGAGGCCCTCCCGTGGCTGGGGCCTTGGCGGGGAGCCCTGATCACCAGGTCCTCAGCCTCACCAAGGGTGCGGTGGTTGGGTCGATCTCCGCTGCTGGCCCCGAGTCGAGGGGAGCAGACAGGTCTGAAGGCTGGAAGTTGGAGGCCTGTGCCGTGTTGCAGATCACGCTTCTACCTGTTGGCCTCCCGAGGAGCCACAGGGGCGCGGGAGCTCCCGCCCCAAGCTGCCAAGCAGCCCAGCCCCTCTCTCTCTAACCTAACTCTCTCCTCTCTCCCTGTCTCCATGTCTCCCTCTCGCTGTCTGTCCCGCTCTCTCTCCCTCCCGCCTGCGGCCGCAGAACCGCATGCACGAGTCTCTCATGCTCTTCGACTCCATCTGTAACAACAAGTTCTTCATCGATACCTCCATCATTCTCTTCCTCAACAAGAAAGATCTCTTTGGTGAGAAGATCAAGAAGTCACCTTTGACCATCTGCTTTCCTGAATACACAGGTGGGTGTCTCGGGGCCCGGTGCAGGAGGAAGCCCCACCCTGCCGGGGACCTGCGTCACCTCCAGAGGCGTGACCCAGAGCCGCTGCCTGCGGCCCAAGGGCCAGGCTGCCAAGCCAGCACTGGGTGTTGTGCGGGGCGCCAGAACCGCGGGAGCGTGACAGGGTGCAGAGAAAGCACCAGGGTGCGCCCAGGGTGCGGTGGGATGTGGACCCTCCAGTCCGCACGTTTTGTGATCAGGTGACTCAGGAGTGACACAGAGGGACCGGGAGGCAGAATAGGACAACAGGCTCCCCTCTCGCCCTAGTCACCACTAGCAGACGTCTCCTGCCTCTGCCAGTCTCACCGGGGGGCCTTCCCCTGGCCCTACCTGAGCAGCGCTGGCCCCACGGCACCTGGGCCTGATTAGAAAGGGTGGGCACGTGGCCTACCAGTGGCCACACCTGCTTTCTCTACCATCGGGGCCCCGCCTGGGCCCCGCCAGGACCTTGCACCCCTCCACCTGCGTTCTCCAGCTCTTCCCCCACCCCCACCCGCGGTCTTTCCCCAAATCAAACCAACTCTCCGCGGGCCTCCTCTTTCCTTGCCTGCCTCTCTCCCATCTTCACCAGGGCTTGCCCCTCACACAGGCTCCTGTAACAAAGCTCTTGCCAGCTGGGCAGAGGAGGCGCGGCGGCGGCCCCTGCGGATGGCCGGCCCTGGGCTGCAGCAAGAGGCTGGGCTGCTGGGGTGCCAGAGCCCAGCCTTCATCCCTCTGGGGACTGGGGAGCTTCTAGGGGAGCCCTTTGCACCCTGCACTAGAGGATGTGTCACGGGTTGGCTCTGCCAGGGACCCACTCACTGGCAGCCCCAAGAGAGAGGAGGGCACGGGCTCAGCTCCCAGGGCCACACAGTCCCCGAACCCGGCTAGATTCCAGAAGCAGTGGGTGCTGGCCCTCCCCCCTTCTCCCCTGCAGGTGTGGAGAAGGGCCTGTGGCTTGGTCTCAGTGCAGCCTGCTCCTCACAGGTGTTTGCTGCTTGTCAATCAGCAAGGCTCCCGCCCACCCGGGCGTTTGGGAAGCCAGGTGGGGCAGGCCGCGGTGTCAGGAGCATGGTCTCCAGCAGGCAGGGGACCGAGGCAGCCTGTGGAGTCAGCCCGCCAGCACTGTGGACGCCACAGTAGAAACAATAACGCCTGTGGCGCAGGGCGGCCGCAGGGCTGGATGGAGAGAACAGGGCCAGAGTGGGGTCTGCTCACCCGCGGCATCGCTGTTGTTAGTGTTACCCGGAGGGCAGAAACCAAGGACGCAGGGGCCGACCGTGCGGGAGGCGCCCTCTGCCGGACGGCCCGGGACAGGCGCCCGAGGTGCGCGACCAGGAGGGCCCCGCCCCCAGGCAGCTGCTGCTGGCCCTCTCCCAGCCGCAGCCGGGGGCCCTGCAGGGCCAGTCCCGGCCTTTGGAAAGCCGCGGTGACCGGGTGGGTCTCAGCAGCCCGAGGCCCGGGCAGGCCCCACCCTAAGGCTCTTCCTTGACCCCAGGGACGCAGCCCCATAGGAGCGCAATCCGGGACGCGGCCCCTGTAGCAGCCAGCCTCACGTAAGGCTGTGCAACAGGAGGCGCTGGCCGCCCCCGGAGAAGGTCGGTCTGAATGTGGGAAACGTCTGAGTTCTCCAGGGCACCCAGAGGGGTCCAACACCCCGCCAGAGCTGAGTTCAAACGTCACTGGGATGGATGACAAATCGTCACCCATGAAGTAGCTCCGTAGGGTGCCGAGGCCTGTGAGGGACAGGTGGGGGGCGGGGGAAGTCCCTGGAGTCACCCCCAGGCACTTTCGCTGCGATCAGTGCCCCGTCTTGGCTCCCTCGGGACAGGCAGCCCCTGGACTGGGGGGCCTCTGGCACCGTGTCTCGTCTGTGAGCTGCCGCTAACTTAACAGCTTCACTGCAGACTCACCACTTGATGTCCTTGGTGCCCAGCCCACCGTGGGGGTGACAAGGAGGTTGGTTCTGCCCCGTGGGCTGTCCAGAGCGGGTCCTCACCCTGACCCCCGCCCCGGGGATGTCCCCGCCCCTTCCCCCAACCCCCCACACGGGCTTATCCAGCGCAGAGGCCTCCAGAGGCCCAAGCCCGGCCTCCCCGTCACACCCAGCCGCAGGGAGCGGGCCAGGGGCGGGGGTGCCAGGGGAGGTACCGTCCCACACCCTCGAAACCAGGCTGTGTTGTCTCCAGGTGGGCCAGGCCCCAGTGGCACCGAGGGGAGGCAGGCGGCCCCTTCGAAGGCCTCGAGGCAGCTCTGGGTTGGTGCCTATGCTACGGTGTTTGGAAGTTGTCTACAGGGCAGAGCCCCAGGGGTGTGGGTGCCGCCTGCTGAAGAACCGTCTTTGCATCATCCTCAGATACGCGCAGCAGGCCCCAGCCAGGATCCAGGGGGCAGCCGAGGAACTGCGGGGCACGGCGGGGCCCAGCTGCTATTACACACGCTGCTGGCACCTTAAACTTTCTAGCAAGGGGCACCAGTGCCCCCAAGTCTGGGCCACTTACCCAAGAACTAGGACTACATAGGGATGTGCCTGGCCCTGCCAAGTGGCTTCTCGTGAGAGGAAGCCACCCAGGAAGCAGCACAGGTCCAGCTCGCCACTCAGCTCACCCTGAGTCACTAGCAGGAGTCCGAGGCCCCCACCCTGCCAGGAGCACTTCCTCGGAGGTCACTGTCTTGGTTTATTAGAAGTGGCAGGGTTGGTTTAGGAGCAGGTGTTGTGAAAGGCCAACCGGCGGGCCTCAGTGAGCTCACCCAGAGAGCAAAAGGGACATCCTGTGGCCCCTGTCCTCCCAGCCGCTCCTTGCGGCTGGGTGTGACGGGGAGGCCGGGCTTGGGCCTCTGGAGGCCTCTGCGCTGGATAAGCCCGTGTGGGGGGTTGGGGGAAGGGGCGGGGACATCCCCGGGGCGGGGGTCAGGGTGAGGACCCGCTCTGGACAGCCCACGGGGCAGAACCAACCTCCTTGTCACCCCCACGGTGGGCTGGGCACCAAGGACATCAAGTGGTGAGTCTGCAGTGAAGCTGTTAAGTTAGCGGCAGCTCACAGACGAGACACGGTGCCAGAGGCCCCCCGTCCAGGGGCTGTCTGTCCCGAGGGTGCCCTTTCACACCTGGGCCCTCAGGTGTGAAAAGAGACAAAAAGACCTTGACAAGTCAGAAGCCAGGCCGAGGCTGTGCCGCAGGCGGTTCCTACTGTAAAATGAGACCGCACCCGGAGAAGAGGCCCGAGTGCAGCCCCCTCCGTCCAGGCGGGTCTCCTCGGCTCCCAGGAGAACGCCAGGGCCTGCCTGTCGCCGTGGGGCTCCCAGCCGTCCTGCCGGCTCTCACCGGGGCCTCTCCCCTGTCCTTGTCTTGCTACAGGCCCCAACACCTACGAAGATGCAGCCGCCTACATCCAAGCACAATTTGAAAGCAAAAACCGCTCACCCAACAAAGAAATTTATTGTCACATGACTTGTGCCACAGACACGAATAACATCCAGGTGGTATTCGACGCCGTCACCGACATCATCATTGCCAACAACCTCCGGGGCTGCGGCTTGTACTGACCTCTTGTCCTGTATAGCAACCTATTTGGTAATGACTCCAGCATTCACAGAACAGCTTGCGCACACACACAGACACACACACACAAATGCAAGTTGGTAAATCAACTTTAAAGAGGCGTAACAAAACATTATATATATAAAAATATATATTAAAAATTCTTTTTAGTTTGTACTAGAAAGAGCTCCGGACAGAACTGACCACCATCCCATAGATCAAGGTGTTCCTGGGCCAGCGCTGAGCGTGCCCGTGCGCGCATGCACAAGCATGCGCGCACACGTGGCGATGGGCGTCCTGACCCGGGCGGCCGTCCCTGTGAGAGCAGCCCTGGGTGTCACCTGCTGAGACCCATCCCTGCGAGCGGCAGGGCAGAGGGGCCTGGCGCGGGCCCTGCCCATCTCTCTGCCTCCAGCTCTGAGGCTGGGTGCCCTCAGTCCGCCCCGCTCTTGTGCGCATCCCAAAACCCTTTACAAGATGGCCAGCACCCTAAACATCTCCCTGCCCTACACCCCCAACAGAAAACAACAGAAAAACTAAGGACGCTTCTCTTTTGGGTGGTGGTGGTTGTTAATTTCAAGAACTTAGAAGAATCATTGCTCCGACCAATCCACTGTCTCCTGAGTTTTCTTTCTTCATGCTAATGAGACAAGAGTCAGAAAAGGGAGACTTGGTCTGCTTTCCCAAAGCAGCTGAGGGGAGGGGACAGGCAGGGCACGTAGGGAGAAGGGGAGAGGAGGGGCCAAGGGGAGGGCTGGACGGGTCAGGGCCCCACGGACGAGGCCTCCGGGGCCCAGGCTGGGCTTCCCTTGGGCTTCTGGCCTTCCTGCAATGCTGCCCCTTCTTGCCCTCCCCCGCCATGATGCAAAGAATGCCAGGGTTTGTTGGTTGGTTGGTTGGTTTCTAAAATCAAAGAAAATGGTCAGACTGGACCCCCTTATCTCTCTCTCTACAGACTGCTTCACGGACTCTTTGCTGTTGACGTTGATCTCCTGGTAGCATGACCTTTTGGCCTTTGTAAGACACACAGCCTTTCTGTATCAAGCCCCTGTCTAACCTACGACCCCAGAGTGACTGACGGCTGTGTATTTCTGTAGAATGCTGTAGAATCCGGTTTTAGTTGAGTCTTTACATTTAGAACTTAAAAGGAAAAAAAAACATTTCTCATGTGCTTTGTAGCTTAAAAGGAAAATGGAAAACTCACCATAACATCCATATTTCTTTCTCTTTTTTTTTTTGAATAAAGAAACATACACCTGTACCCCCACCCACCCCGTCTCACCTCGTGGCGGGGGGGCGGGGCCAGCCCCGCACACCACTCACACCACTCACACCCCTCACACCCCGGCCCCAGTCCAGCCGCTCTGGCCACACGCTCCCCCCAGGTTTGTATAGAAAAAGCACAGCTCTCACGGGCCCGTAGCTGCCAAAAAGAATCCGGATCATATGTATAAACAGAGCCCTCCAGAAAACAATTTCCCCGCCAACCCCCTTTCTACAGATACCCTCTATCATATTTTTAGTTGTCTAGCTTTCATTTCTGTCCTGATGAGCCCTACGTACTACATACCAGATCAGCTTTCATAGTCTTCGGGGATCGGGGTCGCGGTTTTTTTCCTTCGGCGTTTCTGCTTCTCCGTCTCTAGGGCGCCCCCTGTGTGCGTGCCCCTCCGCCTCCCCCTTCGTTCAGTGGCCTGTGTCCGCTCTTTCTCATGTGGGGATGTTTGTGCTGCAGATAAAAAGAACAAAAACAAAAAACAAAAAAAACAAAAAAAACATTTTTTAAAAATGCCACAAGATGGAAAAGACAAAAAACACAAAAAATTTAAAAAAAAAGAAGGAATGTAGTGTTTACATGAAAGCCAGTTTTCACGATCAGTCCTATGTCATTTCTACTTTGACTCGTATTCAAACCCCAAACCTCTTCACGGTTTCACTTTTAAGACTTCACATTTGCTGAAGAGCAGCACAGCCATTTCAGATAAAGAGGAGGCAAAATGACAAAACACAAAAAATTAAAAATACAGAAAAAAAAACTTGGAAAAAAAAGGAAAAAAGAAAAAAAAAGCCCATGGGTCTTTCTAAGCCTTTCTATTCCCAATCGGTGAGGTTTCTGTGATATCTTACACACTGCCAGTCTACTTCTCTGACTAATGGAAAATTCATGTGTAGCTCAATAAAGAGAATGTTTGTCTGTATTCCTGAGTCTCTCACCCTCGGGCTTTGTTCTGACAGGAAAGGGAAGGAGGGATGAGACTGGGCCACAGACACTGGGGGGCTGGTGGGCACAGCTGTAGGTGGCAGATAAAGAATCCCCCCCAGGCCCTACCAGGTGGCTCAGTGCCTTAGAGCGTCGTCCCGACTGGCCAAGGTTGTGGGCTCAAGGATCCCCAGTCAGGGCACGTACGAGAAGCCACCAGCGAATGCATAAATGGAGAACTACGTGATGTTTCTTTCTCTCTCCTCCCCACCCCTAACATCAACTTTAAAAATTATTTAAAAAACAAGAATCCCCCCAGCACTTAGTCGGTGTCCCCCCGCCCCTGACTCTACTGCCATCAAGGGGGCCAGCTGAGCGCAAGGAGGACAGAGGAGGGGCCGCCCCGCCCGCAGATGTCCCTTCCCCGGCCCCCAGCTCCCAGCTCCTCCTCACTCCCAGCTGGGCTTGTTTCTTGAGGAGGGGAGAGTGGAACTGAGCACTGAAAAGGGGAAGAATGGCGGCAGGGGGCAAGTAATCCCAAATCTGCTAACGCAGGATCCTGTTTCTTCTGTTCCCAGCGGTTCTGCCACAGTGGGAGAAGGGGTGGTCCCAAGGACGAGGCCCAGTTGCCTGGGCTCTCTGCCCCTGCAGGCCCAACACCCAAGGGGCAACTGAGATCAGCCCAGCCTGGCGCTCGGGGTCCGAGTCTCGCCTCCGGCAGGCTGCTGGGCTCGCTACCTCTTCCTAGGTCCCCAGAGTTTTGCTGTAACAGCTAGCAAATCGATTGAGACTGGCCCCGGGGGAACACGGCCCATCCAAGTCATTGCGTCACATCCATGGATCGCTTATTAGTGAAGCAGGCAAGTGCTACATTGTGCCACCCAGGAAGTGGGAGGCCCTCAGCGGTCGGGTCATTGGCACCCACGCCGCACCCCAACAAATGGGAATTACCAGCCTTGGCAGGTGCAGTGGTTTTTGCGGAGGTGGGCGTGGGGTTTGTACTGCCGCAGAGACCAGGGAGTAAGAAGCAGCTAGTTCTGCCCTGTGATAAAGAAGCAACTGACCTGGGCAGCCCTTGGACTCCCTTGGCCAGGACAAGCCTGCTGGCCGGCCAGGCCACACCCGTGCACCAGACTCCAGGGAGGCCCGCTGCCACCGCCACTGATGGGAGGGGGCACTCCCGGCCCCAGCCCGACGTCCTCGCACCGGTCTGGATGAGACGCAGTGGCCGTCCGCCGCTGGAGTTCGCTCCAAATGAGCCACAGGCCAGCAGGGTTCCCTCCTGCCTTCTAGATGAGTTTCATAGATAAAACCAGCAGAACTTTCTTTGCCTTACCTTCCTTGTAACGGAAGTCAGGGAGCCTTGTTTTGGGAAAGGACACAGGGAGACCCATTCAGTTAGAAAGGTGAGGACCAGGACCAAGCATCACCATTTCTAAAAGCCCCTCAAATAACTCCTGCGCAGAGAGGTTTGGACGCACTTCTGGGCCGTGGTACGAGATGAGACTCCCCGGCAGACGGCCTTGAGGGCGGGCGGGCGGGCGCAGGGGATCCCAGGACAAGCTGGTCGGCAAGGCCCTGGCTCCCTTGGCTCAGGACGCTCAGCTCTGCGCCCCTGCCCCGTCAAGGGGGTGGTCCCACCCAGAGGGGACCATGTCTGCTGGCTGAAGGTAAAACAGCATGTTGTCTACACAGCTCAAGTGGGAAATCGGGTCCATGTGGTCACCTGGGCACCTAGGATTTGTATCAACACAAAATGTCCGCACCGAAAGTCTCTAATTTGGGGGGAGGAGGGGGGCCTGAGAATCCAAGATCTCAGCAAAATTGGGCCCGTGAGAAAATGGAGGGACACAGACTCCTTCCAAAAGCCCAGAGAGGGCGAGGCACCGTGGCGGGCCCCTGCGCCAGGGCCCCCAGCCGTTCCGCTCCGCCTGGGTCTATGGGGCTGAGCAGGGAACAGGCTCCCGACCCGGAGACACCCAGGACAGTGAGAGGTCAGGAGAGGGGCGCAGTGGGACACCGGTGCAGCCTCCTGCCACTGCCCTCAGCATCTCTCCCGGCTGCCCTCGAGGAACGGCCACGGCCAAGAGGCGGTCGTGCCCAGAAGCCTTGATTATCCAGGTGCATTTAGGTGCAATTAGGACTTTTCTTCTAGGTCATTTGAAGCTACCAGACAGGCCTCCACTTCGATGGCTCCTGTTGCTCTAGTCCAATGTTTCAAGACCTTCTAAAATTGACTTCACCTTTGTCTTTTCACACATCTAAAACGTTTACTGCCATCTTTAATGTGTCCAACTGCAAAGTGTAAGGATGGAAAACACCCTCCAACCACAATACTGAACACACAAAATCAAAAACGAACGCTGGCAACTCCGCAAACAACTGCCTTAGCTTCCAGCCACACACAACACACTAAGAATAGAGTTTGCTTTTTATTATTATTATTGTTTTACAATAAAAACAAGTAGCTATGCTCTCAGCAAAACAAAACACATTTTCTTAAAAATCACAGAAATTTACTAACAGCATTTCAAAGGTAAGGCTTTTGAAAGATTTATTGAAATAAATTACCTTGGCCTAAACATTTATTTCATCACTCTCTTCTCAATTACTTTTCAACATTCTAAAAACTTTCCAAGTTTAAAATACATTTAACTTTGCCAATAATTTTAGGTAATACTGGATTCTCCCCTAAAGGACTACCAAAAAAACTATGCTTTCAAACATTTTTAAAAAACAACTTCGTCCAATAGGACATAAAACTGAACTATGGAACCTATCGCTGCGTGTTTCAAATCCTTAAAGTTAAACGGGTAACAAATCTGAAAAGGGTCAGGATCGGGGTCCCTCCGAGGCAGGCGGGTTCCACATCTTGCCGTTCCATGTTCAAACCAATGGGAACAAGGTTATGGAATGAAGGGCTCCAGAGGAGAAAGATATGAAAAGATCTCTTTTATTTCTTCAGTCAAGCCCTCCAGGATGTCCTCGCCCATCTTGTAAGGCCCACATTTTCTCCAAGGACCAAACCCACAGCCTCAAGCATTGCCCAGATTCCTCGGCCAAGGCCTGCGAACCACAAACCAACGCTGGCTGCTCCACCCGCTCAGCGCCGCACGCCCCGTGTCCACCCAGGGCCCGGGAAACGCAGACGGGAGAGGACAGACACACAGGGTCAACTCATGAGACGCAGGAGCACCAGCGTGAACGTGAATAAACCTGTTTCGATCGGGGCTCGGAAAGGAAGTCCCGGACATACCGGGACACAGGGGCCACCTGCTCACACTCTACAGCCCTGGGCTGCTCTGGGTGTCAAACCAAGCTCTGCTGGTCCAAGATGCCCTGCCGGCCTGGGGACCTGGGGGCCCGGCCTCCAGGACACTTTGGACACCTCCTGATTAAGAACAGCACTGGACCAGACTCTCCAGTGTGCAGAGTGGGCTCGCGCTGCACAGCTCGGCTCCCGATGGGTCCCGGCCCCCACCCTCCACTTCCTGCCAGGTGGGGAGCTAGGACGCCAGCACGTGCTGTGACTTGGGCACCACGCCGTCACTGAAGCTGCCGCCTCAGGGCCTCCGGCTGCCCACTGCTGCCTCCTGACCTTCCCCACCCCAAAGAAGTCCAGTCAATGCCGGAAGAGGTCATGCCTAGAGTTAAAATGTGCAGTGTTTCCGAAGGGAAAAGAAATGTCACATAGAAAGTATTACAAAAAAGGATTAAATTTGTCAGCTGTCCAAACACTATGAAGACCACATGCTTTGTACAGCGGCGATGCAGTCAAGCCCGCTCCTTCCAGCAGCCGGTGGGCGAGGCCGGGTCTCCTCGCGGGTGGGCGGGCGGGCGGGCGCTGCTTGGAGGCGGCGGCTGAGGACGGCCCGGGAGCGCTAGGAGGTCTGCTGCTTCTGAAGTCTCCGTTCGGCAGCCGCAGCCAGCATCCTACGACGCAGGGTCACGGGGTCAGAAGTCATGCTTTCCGAGGCCAGGCAGCCCTCGGAGGCCGAGTCATCTTCAGAGCTTCGGTTCAAGAAACGCCTGGAACAAAAAGCAGAGGCACGGCGTCGGGGGGACGCGCAGGGCACACACGCCACTCAGCCCACGTCCTTCACCACCTCCTTTTCCAGGCACCTCACAAAGCTGTCACGGAGCCCCAGCCCATGAAAAAGACACTCGTCCCTAAGCAGAGGAGCGGGCGCTCTCTGCAGCAGGAAGGCTTGGTGGGCCGCAGTTCAGCTCTCCCTGTCCCCTGGCTGTCCCCTCCCACATGTACACACAGCACTGACTGCCATGCTCAGAGGGCCTGTGCTGGGCGCCAAGCCTGCCCACAGGGCCGTATGCTGGCCCTGTCCCCAGGGGCTTACATAAGAAGCCGCGCACGGCCAGTGTTAGCCCCTCTGCGTCTCAGTTTCTCCAGCCTGAAGCCTGTCACACGGGCATCATCACTGCGCGCCCTCTCAGAGCTGTCCCAGGGAGCAGAATAAATCAACATAAAGAGCTTAGGATGCACGGGCACATGAGTGCCACCCATACACGTGGGGCGGAGGTGTCCACAGAAGACAGGTGACAGCAGCAGCTGCCGTCAGTCACAGCTGAGACCAAGTTTACCAGATCCTCCGGCTTTTCAAGAGAGGTTTGGAATCTTAATTTCTAGCTGACATGGATGGCTTCCAATGCTGGCTTCTGCTTAACGAGATGACTGTGGGCTGCCACGACAAGGGCCCTTAGGCCACGGGCTCTGACCTGGGCGCGAGGCCAGCCCGGGCCGGGGCGCCGGCTTACTTGCGAGCCTGCTGCAGGAGGTCGTCCTTCCGCTGCACCAGCATGCGCTGTCTCTCGTCGGCAGACTTGGAGAAGCGGCTGCCACGCGCCTCGAAGTCCTCCCCCTCGCTTGGCTCGGCCTCCACCTCGCTGAAGTCCAGGGCCTCGTCCAGCCGGGGACTGAGGTCCAGCGGCACACGCTCCGTCTGCACGCAGGGAAGCAAGAGGCCAGGTGAGAACAGGCCGCCCTTCTGGGCAGGCTCCCCGCCTGGCCAGAGGACCCCAAGAGTGTTCTCCTGGACCCAAAGTGGGGACCCGCGTGCACGTGGCGGTGGCAGAGGAGGGCTCCGGCAGGGCGGGCTGCCGTGTCGGGCTTGCACGCCACTAGGCCCTGAATGTGCCGCATAGCGGATGCTCAGCGTCGGCGGAACAGGAAAATGATTACACAAGTGCATCGAGACTGTGCTCTCGGAAAACAAAAAAGTTAACTGCTAGTTCGCATTCTGTGAATTTTCTCTGATTCTAATAATTGTTCACTGCACAAATTTTACACCCTCAGCTGATTGTGAAAACAGTCCAGCAGATAAAGAGGGTAAAGTCTAAGGACCTTTTTAAGAGAGGTGAAAGAGCGCACGGCTCCTTGTATACGTAGCAGGGTGTTAAAATGGGATTCTCTCAGCCGGGCTGAAGGTCGAAGGCCGGGATGCCGCCCAGGGCCCCCCGCCAGCTCGGGCGTGCCAACCGCCCTTGCTCATGGGACCAGACCCCAGCCCAGGCTGCCGGGCGCCAGCACAGCGGCCGCCTCCAGGCGATGACAGGACTGAGGTGGAAGAGGCCGAGACACGGGCCCAGCTTTGAGTTCCTGGTGTGTGAGGCTTTTCTGCCACGGCCCCCACCACCTCCCCCTACCTCCAGCCAAGCAAGTGAGGGGACTGCAAAAGAACAGTGTCACCTGACTCATGCTCCCTAGGGTCTGGGGGACACAGCAACTGGTGATGACTAACACATACCCGAGAAACCTCAGAGAAAAAAACTGGATTATAGCAAATTAACAAAGAGGCTGCGGTGACAGCAAGGTGGACTGCCCCCCAACTGAGCACCACTCAGTGCACTGGGGAACAGGCGTAAATCTTGCTCAAGGGGACCACTTGGGAGGCATGTGACCCCCACAAAGGTAGCCGTGGCCACAAACAGCCAGCTCAAGTGCCGCAGGAGCACAGTCGGGGCTGCTGGTACCGGATGGGGCAGGGAGATCACAAAGATAACACAGACACACGAATACACACATGCTGGGGTCACACGGCCCATGCTAACCCTGTCCCCCTGAGCCTGACCCTGCGGGAGGTCACAGAGAGCTGGTGGTGAGTGGAGGAGGAGCTGGAGGCAGGAGACAGAAGCCCATCCTCAGCTTCCGCCGCGCCCCCGCCCGGCGCAGCCTGGGCAGGGGCCCCCGGGGGCCAGGCCAAGCAATGAGCGGAGCAGATGCAACGCCTGCGCTCAGCGGACGTTCCTACTAACTGACGGCTACCCAAGGACTTTTCATTTCCTGAGAATGACCAAAACTGTTACATAGCAAGCTTCTCTGTCAAATAAATACTTTCCCTTCACCGTTAGGAAAAAAATCAGAAACATTCAGGAATCTCATGCTAGTCTAAAAACAGAGTCGGAGAATGGAGGCCGGGCTCAAGTGCGTGGGTCATGCCCACAGAGGCCGGACGCAGGCCAGCGTCAAATCGGAGCGGAGCCAGCGCTCCAGGCCCGCAAGCCGCACGGACAACCCCATCCTTAGAAGCCAGGAGCCATTTTGCAAAGGCTGCACAATCCAGTCATGGTTTTGCATGTGAAAAACTTAACCCAGCAATGGATTTGCCAAAGTCTTGGGAGTGTTTACTGCTTCCTATTTGCAGGAAACACATACGAGGGAAAGTGGCCTCCATAAAGGAGCTGCTTCCAGCAGCAGCCTGACCAGCCCAGCAGAGAGCGGGGCGCCTCCCTCAGACCCCGGCCCTACGTGTGGGAAGCCCTGCATGTCTCCAACACAAAACACAGCAACAAGGTAGCTCAGGGACCTTTTTTTTTTCCAGTCTCTCAAGATTTGGAAAGTATGGACATGGGTCAGGCAAATGAGAACTGCAGGAAAGAGGCGTGAACCGAACCCACAGGGCGTGGGGCTGGGGGCGGGGGCTCTGCCCCAGACACCAGACAGGAGAGCCGCGCTTGGTTACGGAAAGCCAGCCACCCAAGCACCCCAAGTCACCCAACGTGGTATTTGGGCAGATCAGGTTCCCAAGACAACCACACCTCTCCCACCCCACCCCCAGCCGGGGGTCTCATGTTTGTGAAATTCACGGACCTGGGGGCGCCTGGTGGGACGGGCGAGGTGTGCGAGAAGGCGGAACCCAGCCAGTCCCCCCCCGCCGGGTCTGCTGAGTCCGGCCACCCTGAGCCTTGGGCCCAGCCTCCCTCTACCCTTCCTGGTGCTACCACACAAGCTCAAGGGGGCAGGGCTGGCCAGGGGAGCGTGACCCCCACCCTCCTCCAGGGGCTACGACAATCCGCCTCCAGGGAGTGGGCCGCAGGCCCCTAGAAGAAAGGCAGGCCACACCCCGGGCACCGTGCGCTGTGTTCGCCTTCAACACGGAGCTGAGTAAGGCGCACGGTGCTCTCCCACCGCCTCGCCCTGCGCATCCCGGCTGTAAAAGGCAGGACAGAGACAACCAGCAGGCACCCGCCTCCTCCTGGCCTGTCCAGGCCTGTCCGCTGTGCTGGCCTTACCTGGGCAGAAGCTGCTCCCTCCTCTGGGCCACCATCCGGCCTTTCCACAGGACTGTTCAACGCAGGTCTGATGCCGTCTGACCGCTGAAAGAGACGGTATGACAGTGAGGCCAGGCCATGCCGGGCCCGCGACCCGGCCCGCAGCAGCGAAGACGGGAGACTGCCATGGAGACGGCAGGCTGGATGAAGGGGCCCAAGGCACCAGCCAGAGAGTCATCCACAGGCTCCGCATTCCCTTTCCCTGCCAGTGGCAGTCACTGCCCGACAATGACAAGGGACGACAGCAGCTCCCCTGACTCCATGCGTCACGGGAAGCTGCCGGGCTCCCATCCCGCTGGCTGTCTCAGCGTCCTGGGAACCAGGGCTGCCCTTCTGCTCGGTTTCGGGCGCGAGCGCTCGGAGGCCCCGCCCACCCCGCCCCCAGCCAACCCCCTGGCGGCTCAGGCTCCAGCTCCATTGGCCTTTACAGGCAAGGACTCGCTCCGCCCGCCGGAGGAAGCGCTGCCCTGGAAGCAGCCCTCAACCCATGACGTCTGGGAACGCTGTGTCCAGAACTGGGCCCCGGCAGCTCCCGGTGGGACCGATTCCAGCCACCCCGGACCGGAGCCTGCGGGACAGCCACCCCCCCACCAGCCGCCTTCCCCTCTCTTCACCCCACAGCCCCATGTCGTGTTTCCTGGCACTCGCTGGGGCACGCGGATCCTCATCTCAGGGTCTGCGGCCGGGAAATCTGAAGCCAACAGCCAGGTCAGACAGGTAAGGCCCACTGCGCCCCCGCTCACTCGACACCGAAGCCCATGCGCATTCCCTCTTCTTCAAAGAGTCCCAGGTTTTAGGGTTTTATTAACAGATTCCTGAGTTTTTATACACTGAAGTTGAGTTATTTCTTGGTGGATGATTCCCTGGTCCAGCCAGAAAGCTCGCTGTAAAATGGTAATACTTCTTGTACTCACCAAAGGGGTTGCAGAGGATGGACCAGGACACTTGACCTTTTTAAAAAGTCAAGAGTACAAGCCTTGCAGAGCTACTATACCTACCGGAACACTACGCCAAGGTGCAAAGCCAACCAGGGACAGGCAGCACCCGCTCCGGGACACAGGGGCCGGCCACACTCAGCCGCCGGGCCGTTGCGTACTGCAGGGCTCGCTGGAGCGCAGCTGCAGCCGCTCACCGCCTGTCCTCCACCGCCGCATCCCTGCTACGACGGCAGCGGTGGGGAGTCACAAAGGGGCTGCGTGGCTCGCAAAGCCTAAAATATTTCTGCCTGCCCTTGACGGAAAAAGGCCGCCAATCCTTGTGCAAGCGGAACCGGTGCTCTGACCTCCGGGCTGGCAAGGGGACGCTGGCCTGCAGTGCTGTCCACACAGAGAAAATGGCCCAGACACGCTTGTTCTCATCTTTGTTGGGGCTGTTCTCAGTCATCATTTGGAAAGTTAGGGAAAGTACAGAAACGCTTCATCAAGACATAAATAACATCTAGCTGTTAAAGTAACTACAAAAACCTAGAGGATTAACTCTTGGTGAAGACAAACTCCATCTGTCAAGCTTACAACCCCCGTTTACCTGTGTGGGGAAAGGGACCTGAATCCGTCCTTCTAAAATGTTGTCCGTTGTCACTTCCACCGAGCGGGTCAGCTGGAGGTCCTGCAGCACAAGCGGGTAGGGGACCTGGGGGAACATCTCTTGAATCTGGTGCGCCTGCAGGAACACAGACCGACCACAAGACGCTCACCCTCGGCAGGCGCTGGCCTTGGCGTTCTGTCTTGAAAACCAAGGCAAGGGCCACACTACTTGGCAGAGCACCGTCCAGCTGCAGGCCCTTTTATATTTTCCCAGGATGCCAAACAGGTAACTTGAGACAATAGCAATTTCAAAACACGAAAACCACAGAAACTCAGCTGGATGCCGAAACAGGCTCAACTAGAACAGTCCAGTTTTTAAAGGTGCACATTAACTTGGATATAAAAATGTGTTCTTAAAGATACAGTTCTGAAAAAGAACAAACCCGACGCACACCCCAGGGATGAAATTCAAATGCATTATGTTACGTGGAAGAAGCCTGACTCAAACATTCCAAGTATATGACACTCTGGAACAGGCAAAGTTACAGTGGTTGCCAGGCTGGGGTGGGCAGAGAAAACGATCGCACCAAGGAATTCTGGGGAAGGGGCTGGACCTGCCCTCTCTCTGGACAATGATGGCAGTTACATAACTATATGTTTGACAAAACTCACAGAATTGGATACTAAAAAGGATGAATGTGCTATGTGTAGATGATCCTTCAATGTGAATAAAAGAGATTATAAAGAATGTGACTTGCTCAGGTTGCTCTGGAGCCATCGTTTTCAAATGGTACCCTACAAATGCCTCGTCCACGCTGCGCTCTGGGGTGGGTGCGTGCGGGGTGCGGGGCGGCGCAGGCACGAGTCTCGGCAGAACCCCCGCCCCCCACAGCTCCATCGGAGGGGCTCCAGACCTCACTTTCCACTTATGTCTGTTTCTTCTACAGGGCTTATGGTCAGGGTTTTATTTGTGGAAAAGTCCCAATGATCAAAAGGAAAAAAACAGAAAGAAAAACCTAACAGCGTTAGGGGTACAATAAAGTCCACTATGGCGACAGGGGCTCCTACGGAACGGGCCGTTAGAACTGTCCCAAGCGGGGGGATGATGTCAGGGCCTTGAGAGAAATGATCGGGGTGAACGTGCACAAAGCTTTGCCTAGAGTCCCTGTCAGCATGGGGGGGCGGGTGCGCCGCAGAGGGCCCGGGGTCCCCTAGGTCCTGGGGCCTCCTCGTGCACGATGGTGCGCATGGCTCACTTTTTCCCAGGCCCATGCAAAACTGGCTGGAGAAGAGTCCCTAGAAGCCCCGGCAACCAGGTAACATTCATCTCTATTCCTGCACAGCACCGCCTCACTTCCCAAACAAAAAGATGCCTGAGGGTCATTTTATTAGACCAAAGCTTTTCTTCCGGAAAATCCAGCAAGTTAAATATCGGACCTTTGTAAAAAAAAAAAGCGTGGTTCTGGTAAATTAACTATGCTAAAAACAGGCCCTTCCGATCCCCCAGGGACCTGGAGGGAGAACACAGGACCCGCCCGAGGGTTCCAGACACCGATGCCAAGACGGTCCCAGTGCCGCCTGCGAGGTGGCAGGTGATGCGCCGCGCCTGCAGGGCCTCCGCCGGGCCCACGCGAGGCCGTCAGAGGCCACGTTAGGCGGCAGATGTCCCTGCCTGCCCCGACGTCACTCTCACTCTGCAGGTGACCTGGCCAAGTGGCAGCATGACTCCACTGGCAGTTCCCTGTGGGTTTTGAAAAATAACTTGTTCAAAAATGTTTGGGGAGAAAAGCTCTCCCCGTGCTACGTCCCCATCGCGCTCTGCTCCCTTTGGTAACGCATTGTCAGGCCCTGGCTGTTCCTTCAGCTGCCACGCATGTGTCAGTCGACCACGACCTTGTACGCCCCCACTCCGGCCACGGAAACGGCTGCTGCTTCTCCAGCAAACCACCACCTCCCCTCTGCCCAAGCCCACACTGCTCTCCTCCGACCCACCTCCCGAGAATTCCCACAGGCTCCACTGGCCTCCGGCTCCGGCTCCGTCCTCCCTCGCCATGGCCGCTGCCAGGCCCCTGCCCAGCTCCCCGCCGTCAGCGAGCAGCAATCTCTCCCCAGAGGAGGTCCGGTCCCCAGCTTTGACTAGCACCGACAGCTTTAGAACTCCCAGCGTGAATCACCAGCGCTCTCTCTTCTGGGCGGTCCAGAGCAGCCTCCGAGAGGCTCTGGGGCTGTCTCCGTCATCCCGACTTGACGCCGAGCCTCCCCCCGCGCCCCCCACCCCGGCCTCTCCGCACCCGTCCTGCCCATCGCAGTGCGCGGCCCTGCCGTCTGCCTGCCGGCCGCTTTCGTTCCCCCACTTCCCTCACCCCGCTAGCCCCACACCCTATCAAGCCTCCTCAGGTCCTGTCAGTTCATCTTCTAAAAATACTTCGGTCTGCCACTGCCTTTCATCTTCCTGCATTCACCCCGTCCGAGCCACCAGCTGCTTCTGCCTGAACTACTGCGATGGCTTCCCACCTGGCTGCCCTGACTCCATTGTGGCCCCTTATTCTCCTCCTCTCAGAAGCAAAACAACCCCATCAGTCCCCTGGAGGGAGCAGAAAGCCTCGAATGGCCTTCTAATATTTGCATTATAAAATTTAAACTGGACTGCAGCCTGCAAGTCCCTGTATGACCTGGCTCTACGATCTTGATTTATGTCATGGCCTTGGTACCTGACCTGCTGGGCTCCAACCACAAGGGCCTGTTTCCACAACTTCCTCACCCCGTGGCCCCTGCACCCGGTCCCCCGCCTTCCTCCCCACCCCCACCTGCCTCCTTCTCGTCCTCCATGTCTCGGTTCAAATGCCACCTCCTCAGGAGGGACTACCCGGGATGCCTCCTCCGAGCAGCCCTCGCCCGCCCGGACCACCTCCCCGCCCCCCACCTGCAGAGCCCCCACCCGCAGCGGCAGCAGCCTCGTCCGTGTTCACTGCCAGCCTCCCCAGCAAGAGCGAGCCACCCGTCTGGAGGGCAGGCCTCGCACCTGTCGCGTTTACACGGCAAGTGCCGTGCCCTCTGTTTACAGTGCGCGGTGCCTGTCACAGAAGCAGGCTTTCAGCCCAAACCCGCTGACCAAATACACTAAGATTAATGAATCAGTGAGCGAGTGACCAACGACCTTCTGAAGCAGCACTGGCCAGGCTGACCGCGCCGGCCAGAGGCCCTGGCCGCCAGCACTGAGGGAGCCGGTGTGCTCCCGCATTTACTACCAGGCTGAACACTGGATTTCAGCAATGGTCAGACGTGTTCCTCCAACACTGGAAAATAAAAGCATGCGCCGTATGACAACGCTTTAGAAAATGGCAAGGAATCTTGATGTATTTGAACAATATCCTTAAGCCAACAGCATGTCTCAATGTCTCAAGGTATTTTATATACACACACCCAGGGGGGGGTGTGTGGGCGTATTTATTTATTTTGGGGAGGGAGAGGTTGGGAGTCAAAAAAAACCCACATTTGGTAGGCCTAGCACAACTTTTCATAAAAGGCACATCATTTGCTCCAGTCAATAATTCCCCCACTATTTTTGGCTAGAATCAGGAGAGTCCAAGATGGGCCTAAATCAGCGATTTTCAACCTTTCTCATCTCATGGCACACACAAACTAATTACTAAAATTCTGCAGCATACCAAAAAAAATAGTTTTTGCCAATCTGGCAAAAAAAAAAAGGTATAATTTCAACTGATTTACAAAAATAATAACAGTAGTAATTACCTACTCTTTTTTGCTCCGAAGTTACTTTTAAAAATCAGGTGCCTATACTTGTATATAAGGATTTCCGGTACCAAGAATTAACCAATGATACACAACCTTATTATGTGGCATAACCAAGAAGCAGCAGCCCTACTGCACGGCCTATACATGTAGGGTTTAAGATGGGGCACTTAGCACCAGGCGGCCATTGCTGTGTTCACTGCTGACATTATTTTACTCGACAATCTAATGGAAAAGAGGTCGGTGCCCCCAACTAACCGGTCAGGCAGCGCATGTTTTAAGTATCCTTGTGGCCCACGGGGTGACACTCGCTGGCCTAGGTCACAGCGGAGTGATGCCAGGAGGACCCCGAAAAGGGGAGATTATCTGCCACACAAGTGAGAGGAAAGCTGGTGTCCAAACCGACTTCAAAATTTAAAACACAGGAACCTGAGGGATCCCAGGGAGTAACTGAGATGCCCCCCAGAATCCTGCCACTCCCCCAGAGGGCAGAGGCGACCTGCAAGGCCACTCCCGCCGCGCCCGTGCGCCAGCCCCCTCTGCCCTCCACCCCGCGTTACCCACGCCCCTGCCCGCCCCAGGCAGCCGGTCCTCACCATGGCATTGAGCTGGGAGTTGCTGGCCTGCGCGATGCCCAGGATGTTGGTGGTGTGCATCACTTCAACTGAGAAGCTCGGCAGCCAGCTGGCAATCCGGGACCCTGAAACAGAGCGCAGCGCGCACTTTAGACGCCCTGCCCACACGGCCCCCGCCCTGGGACGGGCCACTGCGCGGCACCAGCCAACGTTCACGCGGGGCTCACTCCACGCCGCGCCTTTTGTACGAGGGGCTTCACGTGAATTGGCTCATTTAATCCTCAAGAAAACCTTACATGGTGCCAGCTAGTACTGTCCCCATTTTGTTCTTCTTAGAGATACGAATTCCAGTTCCCTTGCTTTTTGGTCCCTAAGTCACTCTGAAGTTAGGTAACTTGCCCAAAATCACACAATTTAATTCAGGTGGCCAGGATCTGAAGCCAGACCCCAGTGAAGGTTCCAGAACTCTTCACCACTAAGCTGTCCTGCTCCCGGGCGGCCCTGGATCCAGGGGCCTGGAATGTGGAGGGGTCTTCATGGCTCTAATGCTGTGACAGCGATGGGTTTTTGCTCCTCTATTTCACACTGTACACAAATACGACTCATTGAGAGGCATCATTTCTCAATTATTTCCATATTTTTCTCCTTAATAACCTGGTTTGAAGACCTGGCTGGCTGATTCACAATTCATTCCAAAGGGTTCTGTGACACAGGCTCGTGACTAATGAACGGTACCAAGAAGCCTGCTGCTTCCGCTGTTTCTTCAGCAAGAAGCCCTGAGGTTAACGCCAGCAATATCCAGCCACACATTCAAGGGTCCTTTTTCTCTCCACGAGCAGCACAGAGGCATGGAACATACAAGCAATGCCACGGCCATCTCAAAGGGTTTGCCAGCAAAATGTGCCCATTAAAAAACTGGATACTTACTTACTAAGGAGAAATAAAGTCGACGTTTCTATTTTATATTCATAAAATAATGGCGTATACAGCCAGGACCCATGTCCAAGGTCGGCTAGTACATTCCAGAAGTCCTACCGGGCAGAGGCCTTAATTAGCAGCCACCATGGCAGCCCCCCTAAGCCCAGCGCCGCCGGCCCGGCCAACCGAGCGGCCCTCACTGCCTCTCCCCGACACCTGAGTCCACTCCCCTCGGTCCTTTCTACTAGGGGTCCCAGCAACATGCCCACTCCCGCCACGTCCCTCTCTGGCAAACACAACCCCGAGCTCTGGTTGGCGCCCCTCCTGACACGGTGCCAGGGAGGCCTACTCTACAGCGAGAAATAGGAACTCACCGAACTCAGTGGCATCGGCCCCGATACACTGAACTGCCCCCTCGACAGCAGGAACTACGGAAGGATCATCAGCCCCCCACGCCCCCGCCCGATGCGGTGCCCAAGGCCTTAGAATTTTAAGAGTGGTATTTATTCTAACTCCCTTCTCCACTGAAGGGAGGCAGGATGGTCCTGTTTTATGGGCTAAGACACGGGGTTCCAGCTCTGCTTCTGACACTCACTGGAAAGGCTACTCAGTGACCCTGAATTCTCTGCTTACGTGCTGCACAACGTAATCAGTGATCAGCAACAGTTACCACTAAACTGATGAGTGGGCTCCCGGCAAGCAGCGTTGATTCAACTGACTACCTCCTCCTCCCCGCCCCGCCCCGCCCTTATTTACGGCAAATCTAGCGGGATGCCTGGCACACAATATCCCCTCAGAGCTACCGTCAGCTTCTGAACGTTTTCAGTGAAAACTGAAACATTATATTAGACTGGCCTGTGCAGGGCAATTTATAATTAAAACAGCATAGGCCCTTGGCTGTGGTTTTAGAGGTTGAAACCAACTAACCATCGAAGTGGAAGAAGTGATTGTGCTGGTTTAAGCGAGGTCTGCCTTCTGCGGCTGCGACAGGAACCAAATTCTCGTCCAAGTTCTCCCCCTGATGGTCCTCCCTGCCACGGCTGTTGTCAGCGATGTTCAGAGACATTCTGCACGTCGGGCAGGAGGTGTCTTGTTCTAGCCAGGAACGAAGACAGGAGCTAACAAAAGGAGCAAAATAAGATATCCTTAGCGCGTTTTGCAAGAATTCACCGGAAGTACTCTGACTGTATCAAATGTTTTATAATTTTACTTTCATTGACCGCTAGGTGAGATTTAAATGTTGAGAAACATCTGCTGACATTACCTCTTTGCCCTACTTCTCTCTGATATGCCTCTAGTAGGCCCAGCCGGGAAGTAATGTTAACCGACAAGGTCATCTGCCAAGCTCCTGGTCATGGCCTCCCGCGTGCGGCCTCATCACGTGGCGCACCATCTCCCTTCCCAGCGCCATCCGACCACCTGGAACTCCGCGTGGCTGAAATCTACCCTCCACTCCAACAGCCTGTCCTCTCGCGCCGCTGTAGCTGCCCACTAATGCTGCCACCACCTTGGCCTTCCCTTCAAAATCCTGAAGAGCACATGGCCAGTCCGAGGTAACGTCCCCACTGCTCTGCTAGGATCCGTCTGGAGCCCGAGCACCCAAAGCACCCGCCCGCCCGGGACAGAACACCAGTCCCCTGGGGCCCTTCCCGAAGCGCCTACTTGTGGAAGAGATGTCCACAGGGCAGCTTCCTGGCCGCCTGCATGGAGTCCCAGCAGATGGCACAGTCGTCGTTATTGACAGCCAGCTCCTCCGGCGTTGCAACTGCGAACCTGTGAACAACAGAACGCGCCAGCAGGGATCAGCTGCGCAGACGTCTCCGGAGGGCTGCTTCAGAGACGTCACCTTCCGACAGCACCATTAGGGAGAATTCAGTAAAAGGTTACCAGCTACCAAGAGTATTACCCCTGCGTTCTCTTCACGCCCTATCAAAGAGCAAGCAAGGAATTTACACACAGAAACAAACTTTGTCTTAACCATGGCTCCTGGAAGTGAGAAGGGAACATCTGGCACATCCGAGGAGTTAGGACCCCCAGAGAGCCAAACGGTCCCCTTGGACACAAAAAGGATACCCACTGATTTCACTCTTAGGCCCGGTTTAGCCCCAGGTTGGCACGTGAGTGCCTCCTTCAATGAGGTTAAGAGTTTGTGAGACTGTGAGTGTGTATAAACATGCATGTGTAAAGAGTAAGTGAGACCCACCTTCTTAAAATAAAGAGGGCAAATGCCCAAGGAAGCTTCCACATAATAATGATGACAAAAATGACATAATAATAAGCACCTCATATTTACTCAGCACACACTACGTACCCACTACAAGAATACGCTACGCTCATTACATGTATTGTCCCATGGAACCCTCCCAGCGGCCCCAGGCAGGAGGCTCTGCCGTCGCCCTAGAGAGGAAGCCGCTGGGGCCCGGAGAGCTGAGGGGCTGCCCGCCATCACATCCGGGTGGGGATGCACGTCGGGGCGGGGATGCACGTCCAGGCGGGGATGCACGCCCAGGCGGTCTGACCCCAGGCCAGGTTACAAAAGCAAGCCCTCTTATAACCTGGGATCTGTTATTATTAAAGATCTAAAAGGACTCAACTCCATTAGGGCAAAAAAGGAAAACAGAAGGAAAAAAATGCAATAAAATAAAATAGGATGAGTCACCCTGGGCAACGTCAGCGTCAGCGTGTGCTCACTCACCTGGCCTCCATGTTCCCAACGACGTGCAAATAGTTCTTGTGCCGGCGGATCCGACGCTGCACCTCGTGGAACAGGTAGCGCAGCTGCATGAAGATCACCAAGCTGGCCATGGATAACCAGATGTTGCCGAATAACTGGACGGGAGGGAAAGAGAATAAAGCACACAGTGAAAATGAACGTGCGCTCACTGGCAATGAAGGCAAGGTGCGTGGCAGATGGACATCACTGCCCGCAAAGCCGCGCCGAGCCACCTTCCAGGCCGCAGACGCCGGAGCCTGCCGCCCCGCCCTGAACCAGGCGCCTGCTCCTCGGCCCGTGATGCCATCACCGGGGACCATTCTTGAGGAGTGAACCAGAAACTCAAAAGCTCTGTGCAGAGAGATGTATATCCACAGAATTATAAAAAAGGAAACCCGGAAATGAGCAAAATGTCCAGTAGGAGAATAATTAGGTTGTAAACTCATATATGTAATATTCTATGGTTATTAATTACGTTTACCAGATTACATATTGACATTATATTTTATATATAACATTTTTGAAGATTGCTTATGTGGGAAAAGAATACTTAAGTGAAAAGGCAGGCTAAAACTACCTTAAGAAAACTAGTGTGTGATAAAAAAAATTATGTAAAGATATGATCTTGCAAACAACTGAATACAATCTAAATACCCCATTATTGGGGTTTGTTAATTAAATCATCATACATCTATGTGACAGAGGTTTCACCTTGATAGCATTAAGATAGAAGAACTGTTATAGCAGAGGAAGATGTTCATAATACATTAGCTAAAAAAGCTACGCTTTTTTTAAGGTATGTTTTCAAAGTTACTTTCAAAGGTATTTAGACATGTGCTGTGTCTAACCCAACTTTTTAATACTACTTTGACAGGCTTATAATTGAAATAAATTGCCCACTAAATATGTAGATTCCCACCATTATGAGCACACTGCAGTGCTAACCAGCGAAGGAGGTGTTCAACATTGCAGTCTCTTGCACACCCAAGTAACACGTAAACAATGAAGCAGGAGGAATTAAGTACCATAGAGATGGAAAACCTACGAACCCATGAAGTAGCTGACACTGTGAGAATTCCCGTTACCGTCTATAAAGTAACCACTAACTGACAGACGCCACAGAGATTATGGGGAGAGGAACCCTCTTTACGCCAAAAGAATTATCTACTGACGTGGTCCGGCAGTGCTCGCGAAGCTTCCCAGGAGCTTCGGCAAACTCCCAAGCAGGTGCCACCACCATGGCTCCCAGAAGCCACTCTATATACCCAGTGGCAAGAAGCGGAGTGGGCACGGCTGCGTCCGCTTTTATGGTCTTAAAGTGGTTCACCGACCAAGGTTTCATCTGCTCATGCGCTAACCGGGGTCCTGACTGTGGAAAGCTCAGCTCCTTCGGAGGAAGCTTACCAACATGTGAATGTGATGCATGAGGTCCAGGGACAAGAGAGTGAGCTCCATGACAAAATCTGTGTAATAGACGTATGTTCCCTTTCCTTCCCACGTCCCTTCATGATTGAGGTCCCAAAGGTGGATTACATATCTGCAATGAACACAGAAAAATCATCTTAATATTTTTTGTTACAACTGAATTTGGTTTAAACATGACACAGCACAGTCACCTGTTTATGTATTTTATACATGTTATATCTTAAACTCAGCTGTTTAAACAGACCTCAGTCACCTCCCTCCCCAAGTCCTACTCACCGTAAAATCACATGAGCAGTCCTCACGGTGACAAGAAGAGACTGTAAGAAAGAAGATAGATTTTTTCTTTTTAGTGAAATTTAGGACTCCTCGGGCCAAACTTACTTTACAAAATGATAAAAGTCAAGTATTTCTCAGATCAGTTCAAATGCAAGGAGTCCAAGGAGTGTGGGGGTAGGGAAATTGGATGAACGTGGTCAAAGGCACAAATTTCCAGTTACAAGATACGTAAGTACTGAGGACATAATGTACAACGCAATGACTACAGTTGGCACTGCTGTGTAGTACATTTGAAAGCTGCAAAGAGAGTAGATCCTAAAAGTGCTCATCACAAGGAAAAAAACTTTTTGCATCGGTAAGACATGATGGGTGTTAACAAAACTTACCACGATAATCATTCCACGGCACAGGCAAGTCAAGCCGCTGTGCTGTGCGCCTGAAACTCACCCAGCGCTGCATGTCACTTACATCTCAATAAAACCATTTTATTGAATCTGCTTCACATTTCCATAGACTATTTCCATGATCTAGCAACCTAATTTTTATTGAGCCCTTTTCTATTGACAGGCGATGATCAATACGCCTGCTCACCTCCTAAGGCTGCCTCCTGCAGCCTGGAGAGTCGTTCTAGTAGTTGGGTGGTCACCTCTGTTTTACACAGCGCGAAGCTACCACAGCTGGTGACCTAAGAAGGTGTTTTTGCAGCACGTGGTGTGGCCTGGGGTGGATCCCACTGCCCGGACCTGAGTGCCTGCTCTCCACACACCGCTGCGCGCACTGCCTGGGCCCACACGCGGCAAAGGGGACGAAGGAAACCAAAGACAAAGCAAGCCCCTCTTGGTGGTTTCTACCGTCGACGTTAAGAACATTTTCCTCTTAATCTACCTGAATAGAACTGTTAAATTGTTTATATTTGAGATTAGGAAACTTCCAGTTTTAAGTGGAAAATATTTTACCATACATAGAACATAAATACCATATATTAAAAAAAATAATAATTTAGTTCAAAATAGCAAATCTGTAGTATGACAAATTACTTTAAAAGGATAAACAGTAATAAACTAAAATAAAAATATGTACTACATAGTATGACCCAATAGACCTAATTTAAATATCTTTCTTTTTAGGTATAGTTTGTTCAAAGTTTGCCTAATGTTAAAAATTAGATAACCAAAAAAATAAAAACACAGTATTATTCAAATGATGGTTTATAATAAAACATATCTGAAATAAACTAATCAATACTAGTCAGTGTAAATGAAGTTTTAGACAGGTGTTTTTCAAGAGGAAATATCGTTGCACACTTTTCACATAGAAAAAGAATTCAACTAAAATTGCAAGCGTTTTTATGAAGTACTTAAATGTTCCTTTTCTAATTTTACTTACACTACTATATTATACCCTGAAATGAATGCTAGTAATCAAAATGAAGTTTAACCTTATTCTAACAAGTTCCCAATTAGTTCAAACTTAGTGTTTTTAACATTAGCTGATCAGCTTTAATATATTTATTACTTCACTTTTTCACTAATAATAACAATTATAGACAAGATAAAAGTATTTTATTTTTGTCCTGAGTAAAAAAGCAAAGTCACTGAATTTAAGAACATAGAGAAAATTTTGACATTTTTGAAGAGAAACTGATATTTTCAGAAAGGTTTAAAAAGTAAATTTTAAAATATACATGAATATCAAACCATTCTTTCAAAATAGTAAATAGGGTTTACATATTATATTATTCTATAAAATCTTAATTCGTGCCCCATCGAAAAACACCCATACAGAGTGCTCTTCATCCACCCCGATCACTGCTTAGGCAGGCGTGTCCCGCCTGCGGCCCGGGGGCCACATGCCGCTCAGGGTGGCTATGAATGCAGCCCAACGCAAAATCGTAAATTTGCTTAAAACATGAGAATTTGTGTGTGTGTGATCATGCGTCACAATATATTTAATGTGTGGCCCAAGACAACTTCTTTTTCCAGTATGGCCCAGAGACGCCACAAGGTTGGACACCTCTGGCAGAGTATCCTAAGGGAAATACCCTTCCTACTTGGGAATCCCTGGACTTGAACTGCGCCACTGGCCAGGCTGGAACCTTAGGCAATTCGCTTCGCCCTCTATGCCTGTTTCCTCATTCGTGACTAGGAACAATAAAATGAGTAAATACGTGTAAAAATGGGTCAATGTAGGTAAGGTAATTCCTAGTATACAGTAAGCACTATTTAAATGATGGCAAAAATAACCACTTTTACTTAGGTCGTAGCAAGGATTACATGAAATAACACATGTGGAAGCATTCCATACCAGTGCCCAACACAAAGCAGATCTCAAAAAATGCCTGTTAAAATGAAAGACTAACTATCCATCAGGTACTTCATGGATGTAAATAACCTGTCAACACTCCCCTAGTTTTCTTGAAAATACTCAGAAATGTAGGCAGAGCAAAAGCCTGCCGCCGCCTCTTACCTCTGCTGCCATGAAAGCCAGCGTGTGCATCCCGTGCGAGTAGCCGGTGACGCAGCGCGCAACCGCCAGCCCGCAGCAGGACAGCAGCATAGCGACCAGCAGGGACAGGACCCGGCAGTGGCTACTCATCGGTGTGGTGGGAGAAAAAGAGAGCTGAAACGCACAAAACGGGAGAAGGAAGCTCATTCTTCTTCACAGCGGTGCTCCCCTTCCACGAGAAATGCCAGGTTAATCTTGGCGGATTTGCTTGGGATCTGTGCTTACTCAACGCAAAGCACAGAAAAGCATCCCACTACCAGGTGGCCAAAGTCCTCCAACCAACCTAAACATGACTATGAGCTGCTATACAGATCTTTATCATTCAAGCTAGCGAATATAACCATATACATTATGTTTTCATCTCCAATTCTCAAGGGTGCTCCTACCAGCGGGATTATGCGCCCCCAGAAGCAATGTTGCAGAGGCATGTAATGCCCTCTTCTAACATTCACCAGGACTCAGGGCAGCCCCACGCTCCACTGGCCCTCCTTGACCTTGCTCTAGCCCTCCTCCCGCAAGCCCATGTGGAGGGCGCTCCTAGCCTGGCAGGGCCAGAACCACCGAAAGGCAAGCCCGGCACCGCCTCCCCGCTGCAGTAACGCTACGTGAACAGGATGCAAGGTGGGCAACAGCCTGGAGAAGGCGGCCTGGAGCCACGGCTCCTGGCCAGGAAGGTGCGGACAGCACACCAGTTAGAGGGGTCAGAGGCTCCTGTTCCTTTCTGGCCTTCAACTGTGCAAGAGCCATGAAGACCCTGAGGCTGAAAGGACCTCACGCAGAGGAGCAAGAGCCCCTGGGCCGCGCAGCTGCGTAAAGAAGGGGCAAACAGGGCCCTGGAGGGAGCTGGGCGGAAGGGCAGGACTGCAGGGGCGCCCGGCTCCGTGAAATCAGTTCAGGAGCGCTCACGAGTGAGGGTTCACCTGCCCAGCTCTGACCTGGGGCCGAGAGGCGGATCTGGGGCCCGGACGGAAAAGGACTCACTTCTCCTGGGACCCAGGAAACCAAGAGCTACCTCAGTCCTTGTCGGGGTGGAAACAGTACAAACTAATCAGGAGGAGGAGCTCCGAGAACCAGTGGAAGGGGGGAAAAATGGGAGACTAGAAGAGAAAAATACCTGGAAGAGACCAGCTTTCATTCAGTTTATATATTAAGGTCCCTTGTGCTGTAATCAAAACAGCCTGTGCAGATGAACTGACCCCACGGGAACTATACTGTAACAGAACATCAGGGACATGTAATGTACCAGAACCTCCTAGGAAACACTGATCCCCCACTCCTGGGATGCTGCAGGAAGTGCCCCAAGGCACAGGCAGCGGCGACCTGACCCAGGAGGCTTCCCCTACAGAGCTACCGGGCCAACATGCCTGTTGCAGCTCCTTCACACCACAGAATACACATCTGGCAAATGTGCAACAAAGCAAGCAAAGAGCTGGCTAAAAACTCACATATTCAAATCGGTCCTTGCAGAGCTGAACCATCAGGTGCAGAAATACCAGTCCGGCAAACCAGAGGCACCACATGACCACCTCCTCCACTGTCTGGACATTCAGCACACCAAAGATGAAAATGAACTTGTAGAAAATAAAATTCCAAAACTTGTCTTTGAGGTGCTAAAAAGAAAAACATTTACAAAGGTTAGTACCACCACCCCAACCCATTTAAGAGAAGTCAGCATAAAAAAGAAAGCTACATTCCGTGGAGAAAATATTTGATGCTGCGTCTGCAAAAAAATAAGAGGCAAAGGAAAACCTGGGCCCTCTGAATAACAGAGGTAAGACACCTAGGAAGTCACCTGCAGGCTTTGGATTGTGGTCCTAAATGTCTTTAGGAATTGTAGCCATCAAAAGGCAGGTGATGTTAACCTCGTACCTTATGAATTAAATGATACATGTACTTCCAACACAAAATAAAAAAGAATGGTCAGGGCTATAAGCATCATTTTTATGTCTGCTCTCTGGATTCTTAAAACAAACAAGAGAAAAGATTAGACTTTTTAAAACAGCCTTCAGATTAAAGAATAACATATGCTCATTTGGCAGCCCATAAGCAATAAAAGTACAAAAACATGTGCAACAAAGATGATGCTCTAACATTTGTATGCATTTTTCTTATCTTCTTCCTGCGTGCAAAACACTTTCCGTACACTGCTTCATGTCACTTATCATATTGTAAGAACCTTACTAAAGTCAGTGAATATTCTCTGAATATGTCGTCTTAGTGGTTCCAGATGGGCCCTGAAACCATTCTTCATTTTTCACCATTCAGAAAATGCTGCACTGCATCTATCTCTACATGAGTTTCTATTTCTTCAGCATTACCAGACCATCCACTCAGCTCCCAAAGCAGCGGTCGAGGCGCCCACTGCTGAGACCAGTGTCCGTCGGCCTCGCTGCCCTTCCCCACACTGAGGCCTCCCGGTTTTAACTTTACTGAAAACGCACAAGGAGGGGCAGCAAGCCAACAGACACTAAGATACACTCCCCCAAGCCATCCATGGCGGTGGGGGGACAGAGACATGACTTCCAAGTGCACTTTTATAGACATTCTTGAACCATGTAATGTTTCGCAAATTCAAAAAATTATAACAAAAAGCAAAACTGCATAAAAACTGAAAATGAACCTAAAGGTGTTACAAACTGGTACGTGAACATGTAAAGAATTCTTCCGAGAACTTTCACACGTTACGCTGGCTGTACACCCTTTGTACAAAGAACGAAGCAAAAGAGGAGTGCTTGGTGCCGGGTGTCTATTCCCAGACCTGGGCAGGTGAAGCACAAGGTGAACCCAGGACGCTGTGTGCTCTGGTTTTCAGTCTTCGCTCCATCATCGACTTGCCGTGTGACTTTGGGCCAGTCATTTAACATCCCCATGCTTTGGTGTCCCCACCTGTAAAATGGGTCTTTAACAATGGCTTTTATCTCACAAAATTGTTGAGGGAACTAAGGAAGTTAATATAGGTACTATGCTTAGGCGAGCACCATAATAGGCATTAAATGCTTTAAAAAATTCCTGTTCTAAACCTCACTCTACAGTTTATTTAATATTTGCTCCATTTTAGGTAATCGACCTCTTTGCCTCTAGCGTTCCTCTGGTCTTGAACTTTACGCATTCATGGAGCAAACCCATGTCAATTCTACTGTGTCCTAATTCAAAATGGTGCTTAATAAATGCTACCAGGTGATGTTATGTCAAAAAGTCATCAGCGAACAACACAAAAAATGATCTCTACACTGAAAAACCTGAACACAGAGCTGAGGAACAAATGTGCCCACGATGATTACCTCCAGGCCTTGTAAAAATCTCTGGAATACTCCAAGGTTGCTTTCTGTAAATTTCCAACTGATACCTAACAGTTTTTTCAAAAAAGAAAGTTGTATCTAAGGCCCACTGGTGCCAGCTCCGTCCATCGGCACTCAGATGGCTTACCTGGCCCGACCAATTTCTGGCCCACAAGTCAAAAGTTTTTCTTGAAGAAGAAAGGAGCATCAAAAGAAGCTTTTGTATTCTACCAAAAAGAAAAAAAAAAAGGTCTCCATTGACTGATCCCATCTGGGAGACTCTGAAGCAGCTGTTTCGGAGAAAGTGATAATACGAATGAAAAATCTCTGGGAAAACAAACAGCCCTGCTCAACCACCACAGTGACTGCACTTCAGCTCTAAACTAAGGCGGCGGCCGATCTGGTAACAGATGCGGAATGAAAGGAGTAAGGACGGAGCGAGGCCGCTGCTTTGCTTTTAATGGAGTGGGTTCCCCGTGCCTTAACACTGAGATAAGAGCAAGGAAAATATACTTTTGTTTGTACGTTGTTATTTTAAAGGCCAGTTCTAAGTTCTTATTTTAAAATACGTCGTTCTATACTCTAGCCACTAAAATCTTCGGGGAACTGCCAATCTGTGCAGGATCTTGTAACGTAATTCTTTACTGAACGCCCGTTCTGAGAATAATGTTCAATCAGACTCTCTCACCTAAAGAAAGAAGAAATCACCTAATTTCCTGCATGTAGAATAATCCTAACTTACTTTCCAAAGAGAAAAATTTAAAATCTCTCAGTAAATTCCTTTGGAATAGAATCCATATTCTAAAGAGTGATATTTATGACCATTCAAACTAAAATCTGTGCTTCTTTATAAACTACATTCATAAAAGTCACGGGGGAAACAGCTATAAAGAATAATATTGGGACAACTTAGCTATGTTGACTATGGACTGCGGGTTACAGAAAATATTTTCTCAATGCCGAATTTCCTGATTTTCACCACTGTGCTACGGTTATGCAAAAAAACGTCCTTGGCTCTTGGGAAATACATACTGAAGTATTTGGAGGTAAATGGCTATGACGTCCACAGATTACCTGCAAACAGATCAGAAAAACTAAATACCTACAAACAACAGGCAAATGGTCAAGCAAATGAGAAAAAATGTTAACTATGAATCAATTTCTTGGTAGTATTCATAGAACTTTTCCGGAAATTTGAAATTATATCAACTAAGAAATTAAAAAAAACAAATTCTGACCCTCAAGACCCCATCTTTGCTGTAGGACTCACCTGTCTCTCACTCACGCGAAGGGGGCCGAACACAATGCACTGGATTAGCTTAGCCACCAGCATCAACACACAGCAGGCAGTATTGACCAGAACCTGTGCACAAACCGAAGAAGGAGAGTTTATTTCCTCCTGCTGAAAATGAAAGCAGCCCTAAAATTCCGTTTTAGGCTTTCAGCCATCACTTCTAATGACGGAGCCTTTCCAGCTCTCTGCCAGCACAAGAAAGGTGATATTCAAACTCTACCTTCCATAGGGGCGCACTTCGGCCAGGTGGCCGGGGAGGGATGAGGAGAGGGGAGGAGAGGAAGCCTGTCCCGCTGCGCGCCCTCCAGCCGGCCACATTCCCCTTTACTCTCAACCATACTGCGTGTAAGCTTTGTGCTCTGTGCAAAACTGTAGGTATCTCCTAGATACATCATTTCCTACATTAAGATTTTGATAGTCTCAAAGAAATTTTCTAGAAAATGAAGCTGTTTTGTTATCATGAACAGTAAAATCCTGCACCCAAATAGTCTGCCCTGTCCTGTCAAACAGGAACATGAAGAACTGAGACCAAAATACATGTCTATTTTGCAATACATTGTAATGGGACAACCTGCCAACCAAAAGGTATTCTATGCTTGGTGTTGGCCTTAAAGTAAAGGTTCTGGGATATCAGAGGGGAGTGGAACTGAGAAACCAGTAAGAAGGAAAAAGACAACTGGCCCGAGGGGCTCAGAACTGAAAGGCAACTGTGAGACGCCAGGCAGAACCAAGGCCTTCTTCGCAGGGAGCTGGGGCGCTTTCCTGTTCTTTACGGTAACTGAGTGGTGGACAGACACATCTAAACAAATCCAACGCTTACGAAATGAGAGAGTGCGCTGCCCCTGACCACAAGGCTAGCGCGGCACAACGCATCACTGACGCGCCGATGATTTTTGAAACACTGCGTGACCCCAAAAAGCCACAGGACCTTGATAAAGACGGCAGCGATGACTGTCAGTGGAGCAAATGAAAACAAACACCAGCTCCATGTAAAGGCTGCTTCACTCTTTGATTCACTAAGTTCACGTGAAGTTGGTCATAGTCCACTTCCCAGGTCATTTTTCCCTCTACTTTGAAAAGAAGCAAATAAAGTTTCTTTATAAATAAATAAATAGAGGAGCCAGAAGAGAGTAACATAAGGAAACGAGCTAAGATCTCTCCAGGCTCCCCTCGGTATCTCATACCACCCACCCTTTGACAGAACAGCCCTGATTCATTAAAAAAAGGTTAAATTATGTTTACCTCTAGTCTGCCTGCCTAATGGGGCACGGAAGCGTGTGACATATTTTTAAAGAACTGAAACGAAAACAGTTTTGGTGGGGAAAAAAAAACAACAACAAACTGTTCTGGTAATTAAATCCAAATAAACCAGGGGAAAAAATCCCAGATTAGTTATCTAAAACATCCTGATCCCTCACTTAGGACTCCCAGGGGAACGGCCCCATTCAAAACATTCCAACAAATAGCTTAGAATCCTAATGTTTAAGGAGATAAAGTAATATTAAAAGGCTCCTCTCCCTTGTGCTTCTAAACCAGTCAATGGAAACCCAGTCATGCTAATTAAGAAAATCAGTCCTAAGACAAACCACAACCACAACCCCTTAGGGCAGGCACATCCCCGGCCTCTAAAAACCGGCGGAACACACCCCAGCCTAACTACAGTACACTTCTAAAAAAGAATGTTTCCTGTTTTTGCACACAGGCATGCGAAATAAATAAATAAATTCAAAACATTTAGCATCTACACTCAAGGATCTACAAAACACAGAACTTAGTAAACACCTAACAGAACAAGCAGGCTGCTGTTAGAGCAAAAAAGGAAAGAAATCAAATTTAGGGTTGCTTAATAATTTCTCTATTCAAAACAGCATTCTTGAACACCTTAGACTACAATACAAAAAATAAAGTATTATTGGCTATTGCTCAGATAAACTTTTTAAAAGTTTTTCTAAATTCAAAAATAAGATGTAAAAATGTTGTATCTTTGATTTACAAAAAAAAAAAAAAAGCCCAAAACAAAAGGCCTTCACAAATCCTACCACCCGCACATAACCAGTTTCTCTTTTAATTTAAATAAAGGAGTTAAATATTAGCAAGGGTACGCGAAGCAGAGACCCTGAGAAAGAAGATACCAAGAAGGGCCCCAGGCAGCTGACTGGGCTCATTTAAAAGCTGAGCCCGGCAGCCACGCTACACCAGCCCTTACAGCGTTAGGGGAACTATATTTCAACCAATAGGACCAAGGCTTTTCCCCTCTAATTGGAGCTGTGAAACTATATCCGCATCAGCATCTTCACCAATCAAGCACAGCGGCTCCATTCTGACCAATCAAGACAGTGCCTTCTGAACCAATCAGACTGTGACAATTTGGAGCCCTAATTCGCATGAAGACAGAAAGGCAGCTTCCATCGAGTTCAGAGAGCTCTCTTTCTCTTTCCATTAAGGAGTGAGGACGTCTTGCCCTGACTGGAGCTGAAAATACTGAGGACGTCCCGCCAGAGCGCAACGGAGCAGGGCCCGGCCGCGTGGACCGCAGCAGGTGGAGCAGACCAGACAGGAGTAGAGCCGCACTGTCTACCCAGAGAAGGGCCTTGCCCCCGGCCGCCCCGGTCCAGGGCACCCCCCAGCCCTGCGGGTCCATAGCCATGCTGCTACGCAACCGGGCTGTAGCAGTGAGGAGCTGTTCACAGCTGTGCTCGCTCACAGCTCAGGACAAACCTCCGTACCACCTGCAACCACCAGCCCTAGCAAGCCTGGCCTGAACCACGCCTTTATCCTCAGAGTTCACAGCACAAGTACTTACCCCACTGTATCTGCTCTCGGCAGCTAATTAGCTTTCCCCTGTAGGCAGAGCCCAAGCTTAAATGTAGGTAAATGTAAATATAAGGGGTTCGCCGGAACACTGTTTATAATACAAAAGTGGAATGCAAGTGCTCATTTTTCTATCAGAAAGCAGAAGGGGGAGACAAGCTCAATCAATAACGTAACACAGTGAAGCCTGGAAAACGGACTCAGCAGCTCTGTGTTTACCAGCGTTGGATGGAACCTCCAAAATAACCTGCTCACTTAAAAAAAAAGTGTGGAAATGTAATTACTATGCTACTTCTTGTAAAAAAGAACTGTGTACACACACACGTTTATATGGCATGTCGATGTGAACTGGGTCAAGGACTCGAGCCAGCCTAGCTACCCGTCTTCTACGCAACATCGGCGCTTACTGCAAGGGGCTGGTCCTGGCCGCTTCTTGCGGAGGCAGGCAGGCAGCAGGGAGCGGGGAGCGGGGAGGCACACTTTTCCCTATACATACATCGCTTGTGTGCTTTTCAACTTTCATGCCGTAAGAATGCATTTGTTAATTTTTTTAAACCTTGGACTCCATTAACTAATCTGACCAGTTCTGAAGTTCCACATTATTTTTCCCATTATGTAACAGGAGACCAATGAGTAACAAACCAAATGGGGTGGCCTAAGGTCACAAATTAATGTTGTAACACACAGCATTTCTGCTATACTGGGAAAAGTTTCTCTATCTATAACACTGTAAAAAACTTTAAGTCATAGTCTTTAAAAGCCTTACCAAATGCTATTTTTTTTTTTATTAGTCTACACAAAGTAAAAACAAGTCCCTGAACAGCCTGTAACAGAACGGGTCGGATTACGCCGACTCGAGGAGCCCCTACTTAGTCAGGCGTACAGGCCTTTACCCCAAGGCCCCTAAAGAAAACTTCCCTCCCAGAATGGTTCTCCTGTTCTGAGAAAAGAAAAACTAAATTACAAGACAGTTGGGCCTGTGAGGAAAAGAGTAGAAGCTGATAACAAACGGCTTCACCCATTGATCCATGTGTGACTCTGGAGGTGTTTTTGATCCTGTAAAGTGCTGGCCACCAAGGGGCAGTATTTATGAGCTTGTGATGAATGTGATTAAACAACCAGGAACTGCTGCAAGGCCATGACGAATAAGGACATGTCTTAGTCCCCTACTTCACACCGGCGCTGACACACCATTTGTCTGTCTCCTCCCTTTAAGGACAACTGCAATATATGACCCCTCTGCAGGCTCCCAGGGACAAGTACAAAATGCCAATAAAATGCAAAGAGGCACCCTCCCTGCCCTTACACTTGTATTCCTCTTTTCAGCAGGGAGAGAAATGAGATGATGTACACAAAGCACTCAGGACGCATCTAGCAGTGATCAAATAGAAGGCTCCTTCCCCCTCGCTGGAGAGTTTTTCTGTATTTTTAAGTTGTTGAGTGAGGCTGATATCCTATTATTCATAAGGTTAGTCTTTTTCTTCAGCTGCCCCAATATTTTACTGAGCTAACATTTTTCTCTAATTTTCTTTGGAATATTCGACTTACAAAGACTCAAACCTAGTGAATTCCCTTCAGTTCTGAAGTTGTATAATCAGGTGAAGGTGCGGTGGGTAAAGCAGAGTCCCCAGGCTGTCCCCTAGTGGGGTATCAGTTAGTAAATGCTCGGGGCCACACACTCTCTGTCACAGATTCTTCCTTTAAAACTGTGAAGCCATCATGAGTTGACAGACTGGACAAAAACAGGCTGGGCCTAACGGGCCCCCACAGTTTGCCAGTCTCTGCACTGAATGGTCAGCTCGCTTTTATCCATTTTTGTTTCTGGTGTTTTTGCCCTGAAACTTCTATTTAAACTATTTGATTTGCATATAATTAAGTCAGAACCTTAACACTTGTTTCCTATTTCTATTTCTCCATTTTACCATGCCCTCCCACAGTTTTAGAAGCAAGTCTGTATAAAAAGAAAAAGAAAAAGAGAGGAAAAAAAAGAATAACAAAAATAATGAGGAAGAATAAAGAAGTGGGAAAGCCAAAACACCTAAACAATTTAAAACAATCATGGAGTGAATCAAGAGGTACTTTAATGGAAGGGACATCTGAAAAAAACGTAAAATAAGGCTAGAAATGAGTAACAAATAAAACCTAATCTGAAATGAAACTTCCAGAAAGTTCTAGAGTGACCACACCAAGCCTGAGTATTTGTTAGTATAGGCACCCTAGGCCCCCTCTCCAGACTATTCTCCTGTCCACGCCAGAGCGCCCCTGGCGTGACTTCCTCGGAGGGAGGAGGAAGGTCACTCCATTTCCTGGCCTCTTCCCATTCTGCATAAATCCACCTTCCGCACTGCTGCCACCGACCGTCCCCTGAAGAATCAGGTCCCCGTGACAGCCCCTCCTCCCCTGCACTTCTACTCTAACCGAAGAGCACACAAAGGCAGGCCCATACTCCGGAGCACAGCAGGCGCGGTTTCTACAATCCGCTGGTAGCCCCGCATCCCATCCTCTCCCTCATCAGCGTCTCTGCCGTCAGTGAGCCTAAGACCACCTGGGACATTAATCAAAATGAAGATTGTAAGGCTCCATCCATCTTCCTCCCTAAAACCGACCCCCAGGCAGAGCCTGAGAAACTGCATTTCTCAAGTGCGCCAAGTGAAAATAAAGCAGGCTGCGGCGGGAGGCCCACACTTGGGGCACTACGCCTATGCCTTCGGAGGGGTTGCCCGCCTCTCCCTTTCTCTCACACAGGGCTTCTCCCCGACCTCCTGAGGCCCCTGTTCACCCTCCTGACCTCACTCTGGATTCAGAGGATCCGCCAGTTTCAATTTCACCACCTGGTGTATGGGCCCCAGTGCACATGCCGTCCACACACCGGTCTCAGGCTGTTTTCTCTGCCTGGAATGCCCCACGCTGCTTGCTGAGCTCCCACACACCTGCCAGGGCTGGGTTCAAACACCACCCTCCAGGCATCCCTCCCTAGGCACCAGCTCCTCTTTCCTCCAGAGCCCACCACATTTTCTTTATATGTCTGTTAGCATTTATCAAATTGGGCCTCGGATTGCCTTTGAGGGTCAGGGGGAGGGGAATGTTCACAGCTATGCCCTCAGAGTGGCCCAAATAGTTCATTAGAAAGGTTTTAAGTTGAGTTTATTCATCAAAAACCTCCTGAGATGCCACCAGACCTATATGAATCTACAGTGTGCTCTACAAAGATACATTTTAGAGATTTCAATTGTCAAACAATAGCTAGCAGGATTTGCAAACTGGCAGAAGGATCCGTTTTTGTTTTGTCTTGCCTGGTTTTTAAAAATGGAATCTGAATGTCTTTGGGCAGGGCACAAAAGGATCCACTCTGACAAAAGTCCAACGCCACCTATTCCACGGAGGGCGTCTTTGAGATCCTGACTCCTACTCAGCTACCAAAGCAGGAACTGTGTAACAGGCGACGAGGAAAATTGACAGTGCACACGTGGAGGGGCTGGTAAACCAGGGCAGGCCAAGTGAGAGCGCGAAAATCACAGAGAAACAATGAAAAAAAAATACAGTAAGAAGATCAATCGAGAAAGGAAAAGTTTATCTATCAACAGACAGGAAGAAATAATAAACTTGCAAGAGCAAGACCACTATTGAAAACACTAAGAAGAAAAGCTTTCTTCAAAGTAATAATTTTCACAGAAAAAAAAAAACAAAAAAAAAAAAAAACAAAAACAGGCTTTGTTTCATGAAGAGGTGTGTTAACCTTGAATTCTGAACATGGGTTTTGTAAAAACCAAAAAACAAACAAAAAAAAAAACCCCTCCTAGGAGGGAAAAATCATTAAATGATACTAGCATTTGTTATATAAATACCATAGGGGTTCCTTTTCAAAGCCATTATTTATCCTATACTTGAAAAATATAGCAAAAGCTGTAGTCTTAACATTTGGCAAAAGTGCTGTTCACATCACTTTGTTTACCTGCTAACTCAATGCAGAACTAGATCTGAAATTAAGAGACGCGAGTGGAGCTCTTCTTGATTGGGTGCTGCAGGCTTCAGCTGGGCCTACAGAAGAGGAAGAATGGACTGCACCCCTGCGGCCTCCTGCTAATCTCTTCCTCGGAAGGACCGGAGACCTTAACCCACAGCCCCGCAGAGTTCACAAATCCCTCTGCTTCCTGATGAAGCACAGTGGGATTAATTATAACAAATGAGTTGCATATCATCTATACACTTGGAATATTAATCTCTGTCATTTACAGCCTACTCTCAACCCCAAATGGGAACTTGCAAAAAGAGACAAGACCCAAGACGCCACGGTAAGCCCGAGCAACAGACCTAAATCCTGGAACAGTGCGCCGATCACCGTAGGATTTATGTAAGAGGCATTCAAGGCCAGGGCAGGCGGAAGCCGCGTCCTTTAGCCAAAACAACCGTTTATCTGCCCAGCCTGAAAATTACCTATTGTAATAAGCGAACCCAGCGATTCTGCCTTTTGAAAGGTGCTTGCCTTGCACTGGCAGACACCTCTAGTGCAACACTAACTAAAAGGAGAAATCCAGAGTTGAAATGATGAACCGCCCCTTGACTCGCAATATTTTGCCGTCTTCAGGCATCAAAGGAAACAGTCGTGAATCATCAGGTACAGGCAACAGGAAAGGAAGGTAGGTGTGTTGGGCCCAAAGAGGGCAAACACAGACTAAGGGGCAACAACAACAAAAGTTGTGGGGGACGGCCCCTCTCCGAACAGGAGTGCCCCCACACACCCGAAAGCCCCCAGTTCCCCACACTAGACACCGGAGCCCCGCCGGCCCTCCTCTTACTGACCCCGCTCGCCCACAGACTCAGAAAAGCCTCCCCACTTCCCTCCACGACTCCATGTAATGGAAGGGCCGGTCAATGACTCGCCGAGCCCACTCCCCTGTGGGGAACCCTGCTCTCTGGGGTCTTCGGACTTCCTCCCCGAGGTCCCCCAGAGTTCCCCACCTCTTACTCCCCCGCCACACACACACCTAACCTTCATCGACTCCCGTCCCCCGGTCCCAGACGCGCCCCCCGCATCCCAACCCCTTCCTCTAGCCCAAGCCTCGGGGCGCCCCTCCTCACGACACCCCGATCTCCTCCCCACCCACCCGCCACCCCAACACTTCACCGTCTCTTTCGGCGGGGCGCTCCCAGACCGCCCCCCCCCCCACCTCGCACTCGGTGGTCGGGCGAGAGGGGGCCTTTGCCCCAGCCACGCCCCCCGCGCGCCCCCCCCCCCATAATGGGTGACGCGGCGGCCCTCGTCCCATCCCGCTTCCCCGCGGCGGCCCGGGCAGCCTCGCTCACCCACACGAACAGGCTGTCCGAGAGCAGGTACTGGGCCACGTCGCTGGCCCCGGGGCCCCCGGCACTGGGCCGGGCGACCGCGCCTGGATCTGGCTGCACCGGGGCCGTTATGGGCTCCGACTCGCCGGGCCCCGGCCCGGCCTCGGCCTCGGGCTGGCTGAGGGCACGGTAGGCTCTGATGACGGCGCCGAGCAGCGCCAGGCCGCTGAGGCCCGTGTAGGTGCGGAGGCTGGGCCAGGGGAAGCGCTCGAGGAAGAGCAGCGGCATGGCGGCAGCGGCGGCCTCCGGCACCAAGGCCTCCCCGCGCTGCAGTCGGGCCCCTGCGGCGGCCTCGTGAACGGCGCCCACGGGCTCTGGCGTCGCTGCCGGCGCCGCCGCCGCCTCGCCGGGCAGGGCCGGGCCGCTTCTGGACGCTCGCGCCGCTCCCGCTGCTGCCCCTGCCGGCGCGGAAGAGCCTCGGCGGGCTCGGGGCGGGTCGCCGCCTCCAGCGGGGTGCAGGCGGGACGGGCGTGAGGGCGCGGCCTCCGTCCCCCGCCCCCAGCGGTCGCGCCGCCGCCTGCCCTGGGAAGGCCGCGACTGTGGGCCCTGGGTCCCAGCACCCAGCATTATCCTCCGCCGACTGTCCAGCTCGGCCAGGCCGCGGACCCAACGGACACCGGCCCGGGCCAAGGCGACGCGCGTCACTCAGCTCCGACCGCCGTGCTGACGGGCGGTGGAGCCCAGGCCGCGTGGCCTGTCCGCAGGACGCAGAGACCTGGGCCACCAGGCGTCCAGCCGTTTATTTCCTTTAACCCCACTTTAGGCAGGTCACTCCTGGGCACCCCTGTGGACCTAGCAGCTTCCCTGGCCGCAGATGGCAGATGGGAATAATAGGAAATGATAGAGGACCTAACTCCTAAACAAAGACGATTAACCCAGTCTTAAATTTGTCGCCAATAAAAAATTAAGTTTGTGCTGTTTCACGGGTAGCCTCAAGCAGTCTAAAACAAACCTGATTGTGCAGGAAATAAAAATGTGTTTCCTCCTACACCAGGTAGGAATGTAAAATGGTACTGCTACTTTGGAAAATAGTCTCAGTTCCTAAAAAAAAGTTCAACGTTAAGAGTGGCCATTTGACCTAGCAGTTAATTGTACTGCTAGGTGTATACCCGAAGAAATGAAAACACATACGTCTGCATAAAACTTGTACACACATGTTGATTGCAGCATTATTGTACTAACCAAAGGGTGGAAACGACCCTAATGTCCAAGGGATGAATCCATAAATAAAGGATACAGTAGAATCTTACTCAGCCATAAAAACTAGTGAAATACTGACACATGCTACAACCTGCACAAACCCTGAAAATTCGTTAAGGGAAAGCAGCCCAGACAAAAGGCCACATGTTGTGTGATTCCATTTATGTGCAATGTTCAGGATAGGCAAACAAATACATTTAGAGATGCCAAAAGTAAATTAATGGTTGCCTAGGGAAGGGGACATGAGGGAACTGGGCAAGCTAAGTATAGATTTCTTTTTAAAGTGATGGAAATGTTTAAAATTGTGGCGATGGTTGTACAACTTTGAATGTACTAAAAGTCACTTGCACAATTTAAAATGATGAGGTATATCTCAATATGTGAATTATAGCTCAATGAAGCCATTATAAGACATGTGCTACCAAGCAGATGTGTCACCTTGGGGATTTTACTTTTCACTGTATCCCCAAAGCCTGTAACAGTGCCTGGCCCACAGCAGATACTAGTAAGTACCATACTTTGCTGTGTATAATGCACACTTTTCCCCCACATTTTTTAGGGGAAAAGAAGGATGTGTGTCACACACACCTAGTACTAAGGATGTGCAGTATACACGGGTAGTGCTGAAGTGCAGGGGCACATGATACACAGCAAAATGCTGTGTCAAATCTTACAAACTTTCAAAAGGACTAAATTATTTTCAAGGTCTCTTTTATGCCTAATATTCTAATTCTAAACATCTGTTCATTAGAAAACAAAATAAGATCTCTCAAGGTTATTGCCATCCACTTTAGAAATTTTAGAAACACCCCACTAACGGGCCCGTGATGGAACACAACAGTTCCCCTTTTGCCAGGGACGGGGGCAAGTGGTTCCTACATACACACACTTTTTTATATGAGGCCTGTACGAATATTAGACTTCAGTTCTCTTTGGTTCTCTACCCACAGCCATTTGATTAAAATGCTGAACTTTCACCTTTACCGGTAAAATAAAGCTTTATTTTGAAAAATGATAGTCGTCGTCCAGGGAAGTACTGTTAAGTGTTCTACTTTATCTCAGCCCCTGTAATTTCTAAACCAGACTATCAGATGATCTATATTCAATCCAAGTCACAATACCGTTACAAAATACCACACCAAATTTGTCCCGCTGCCCTCAGGAACTGTGGCCCTAGGTCTGCCCTCGCTGTATGACAGACAATAGCCCACCATCCTACATTTCAAAGTGCTCTACTCTGGAATTATGTCATCACTACTTTCTAAGTTTAGAAAAGCTTTAGACAACCAGTTTCTGGAAAAACTTTGTAAATGTTTAATAGCAACTCTTTATTTTCAGTTCTGACTACGTAAGAATTATAGTCTAAATTAATGGAAAAGTTTTAGCAGCTTAAACTTTCTGAAGATTCAATGAGAGAATAGTTGAAGTTAACCCACTATATAATTCTTATTTGTATGTTTAAAGGTTCGTGTCTGCATAGTTTACTAGGATATTAGCATTTGTTCTACCAACTTTCTTTCCCCTCTCACTCCAAGAAGGTGGCCATGCCTTTGCACATCCTTCCCTAAAGGTTTTCTGCTTTGTTTTGTTTTTTGCAAGGGCACTACCTAACCTGCTAAAGTCAACCAATGTTTCTGGTTCTTTGTATTAGATCCTAGGCCATGAGAGGACCAGGGGAGGAGGCAAGGCACAGAAGGGATGAATAGTATGCCCGGGAAGGCTGGGCCAGGGAGGCCAGGCGCCAGGCTTTGAAGGGCTGGGGAGCTTGGCCAAGGGGGTACCTGTGGATCCACAATGGCTAGAGCTCTCCCCACCTCCACCTTCATTCCAGAGTCCCATTTATGCCATCTGGATTGATTCTTGTGAGCCTTGGGTAGCCCTCCCCCGCACCTCCCCCCGCCCAGTGACTGAGAACCTGACCTGCCTGCATCTCTGTAAGATGGTGGCTGATTTGGTTTAAGGGAAATAAGGAAATGTGTCATTTCAGGCAAACCAGAGTTTATGTGGGGTAAGTAAGATTTATACCTAGATATATTGTTGCTGTTTTCATTTTAAAAATATTTGAACTTTCATAGTCGTGATCCCATTTGATGTTCACCATGCTTTGAGACAGGCTGTTTTGTTAGGATTCTCAATATCCTAGCGCACGAACTTCGCTGGTCTAATCCAGTAGCCTTCGACAAACTCCCATGGAATTCTGGTTTGACCAGTGGGGCCGCAATATCCAGCAGATGAGGGGAAATAACCAACTTCTCATTTGTATGGAAAAAACTAAGCTAAAGGGTATATTTCAATGTTTAGCTTTTTCCCCCCATAATTTCGCATAGCTCTGGTGTCTGCTCTAAAATGCACTAGTAACACTTTCAGAACTTTGTAATAACTTTAGCAGGTTTTGTTCAACTTTTGTTCAGATATGAAGCCTTCAAGGCTATGGTTTTACCATACATAGTATTCTCATATTTTTGGTGAATTGTTTCTATTTACCATATTTTGCCATGTATAATTCATGCTTTTTTGCCCAAACTTTTTGGGGAAAAATAAGGATGTGCATTATACATGGGTAGTACCTGAAATACCTTGTATCTGTTGTGTTTTGTAATTATTTGTTATATAAAATTTATTATACCATAATATGCTCAAAAATAAATGCTAAAATTCCTTTATAATATAAAAAAAAGTATCTAAACATAAATAGTTGAATTAAAAAATTAAAACAACTTCCAGCCAAGATGGAGACATAGGTGTAGGTAGATATACTTTACCTCCTTGTGTAACCGAAAGGACAACAAATTTTAAAACAAAAAATAACCAGGACTGCCAGAAAATCAAACAGAATGCAAGTCCGACAACCAAGGAGCTAAAGAAGGAACCTTCATCCAGACTGGTAGGAGGGGTGGAGACGAGCAGCCGGGACAGAGAGGACATGGCAAGGCAGCAGCTGGAGGACCAGGTGGACTACGCAGCGGCTGCCAAACCGGGCAGTCCCACACCTGCAGCAGGTAAATCTGGAGGAACAGCTGGAGAGCGGGGGAGCGAAACAGACCCGCAACCCAGGGTTCCAGTGCAGCAAAAGAAAAGCCTCAAAACCGCTGGAGGTAAACACCTGTGGGGGTTGCAGCAGCAGAAGAAACTCCCAGCCTCACAGGAGTGTCTGCTGGAGAGACCAATGGGGTCCTAGGACATACGCAAACCCACCCACCCAGGAATCAGCACCAGAATGGCTCAATTTGCTTGTGGGTCGCAGGAGGAGTGACTGAAAGCCGACCAAGAGCCAAGCAAGGGGCATTGTTCCCTCTCGGACCGCTCCCTCACACAGCCTCACAGCATAGTGACCTGAATTGCCCCACCCTGGTGAATCCCTAAGGTAACCAGGGATTCGCCTCCCAAGGTAACAGGTGCGCTGAGACAAAGAAATATGGCCGAAATGAAAGAACATATCAAAGCTCCAAAAGTAGAACTAAGCGATGAACAGACAGCCAACCTATCAGATGCACAGTTCAAAACACTGGTGATCTGGATGCTCACTAAATGGGTTGAGTATGTTCGCAAAATAGAGGAAAAAGTGAAGCTATGCAAAGTGAAACAAATATACAGGGAACCAACAAACAGTAAAGGGAAGGAAACCGGGACTCAAATCAACGACTGGGATCAGAAGGAAGAGATAAACATTCAACCAGAACAGAAGGAAGAAAGAATTCAAAAAAATGAGACACTTAGGAACCTCTGGGACAACTTAACCAATCCAACATCCAAATCATAGGGGTGCCAGAAGAAGAGGAAGAGCAAGAAATTGAAAACTTACTTGAAAAAATAATGGAGAACTTCCCCAATCTGGCCAAGGAAATGGACTTCCAAGAGATCCAGGACACTCAAGAGAGTCTCAAAGCAGTTGGACCCAAGGAAGCACACACCAAGGTACATCATAATTACATTACCCAAGATTAAAGATGAGAAGAGAATCTTAAAAGCAGCAAGAGAAAAGGAGACAGTTACCTACAGAAGAGTTCCCATAAGACTATGAGCTGATTTCTCAAAAGAAACCTTGCAGGCAAGAAGGGGCTGGAAAGAAGTATTCAAAGTCATGAAAGGCAAGGACCTACATACAAGATTACTCTGTCCAGCAAAGCTCTCATTCAGAATGAAAGGGCAGATAAAGTGCTTCCCAGATAAAGTTATAGGAGTTCATCACCACCAAGCCCTTAGTATGTGAAATGTTAAAGGGACTTATCTAAAAAAAAGATGATCAAAAACTGAACTGTAAAATGAGAACAAACTCACAACTATCAACAACTGAACCTAAAAAAACCAAACAAAAACAAAAATCAAAGCAAGTAACTGAAATAGAAACAATCAAAGAAATGGAGATCAGAGGGGACAGGGAAGAGTGGGGGAAAAGGTACAGGGAATAAGCAGCGTAAATAGTAGGTTCAAAATAGGCAGGAGGATGTTAATAGTATACAAAATGGAGAAGACAACTTGTCTGTATGACCCATGGACATGAACTAAGGGGGGAGCAACAGTGCAGGGTGGAGGAGAGTAAGGGGAGAGAGAAAAGAAAAAAAATTAAAAGATTTTTTTCCTGAAAGCTTGGGCTAAGAAACGTGGGTGAGGAGTATCCACAGGAGTGCACTGTATACAGCAAAATATGGTAAGATGCTGAAATTAACTTACACAGTATTATCAATACATAAACGGTAAGCACGGTGTCAGAGAACATCATGACTTCCAGGCAAGTTTGAGGAAAAAAAAACTATAGGAGTCAATGTTCTACAGATAAGGAAACCGAGTCCCCAGTGACAACACAGTTTACACAATTGTGTGGCAAGCGCTAAATGAGTCTTCAGGTTCCATGCCCGCAGGACCCCCAGGTCGCAGGGTTCTGAATCTGCCAACACCCCGGACGCGCACCGGGGAGGAGCGCGGGGCAGCAGCGCGGGCGCCCCGGGGCTGCAGGCGCTGCCCTTGCGCCGAGCTGCCTCCCTCCGGACGGCCCGGCCACTGAAGGGTGTCTAACGGTGTGCTAAGGCTGGCAACCGCACATGAAATCAGAGTCGTCATTTTATATATTTTTTTTAATTGAAATGACAATAAAATAAAATTAAAAAGAACAGTGACCATGTTAATCAAACTTTTGCTTTACAAATATAAAAATATAACCAAAACTTCAAACAGTTTTTTATATAGTTTCTATAAACTTATACGAGAAAACTTAATAGGAGAAAAATTCTCCAAGCCCAACTATAAATGATGCCTGTACTCTAGGATGTGTACACAGTAACCAGAAGTTTAAGTTTATAAATGTAGCAATCTTGCCCTCAACAGAACAGGATAATACATTTTCCCAATTTATCTCTAGTCGTGCAATACAACCCATCACTAAAATACAAATTACACCTAAACTGACTTCATCTAGACTTAAGTTTTTCACAAAAACAAGCTTGATAAATATAAGCTAATAGGAAGATGTACAGTATTATGGCTCAAGGGGAAAGTACAGTATCATGTTTCTCATCACATATTTAAATAAAGGGAAACTGAAATGACTCGGTTTAACCAAAAGAAGAAGTGATAGAAAACAAGTGGAATAATTATAGGAAATGAAAGAAACCTTATGCTACAGAAGCTGAGTTGCCTCACATTCAAAAACCACTACGCCCTGTCTGGCCGTGCGACATACAAACTGCACACACTCTGCAGCAGTCATAGTGATGGGGCGTATGTCCCCAAGACTGTGAACTCATAAAAACGTGAAGTCTGAGGGACTCCAACATGGAAATGCGACTCCAAGCATTTCATCTCAGCGACTGAGAAGTTACTTAAGAAACAGTCATTAAAAACCTGAGAGCGTAAGAGCCACATCATTTAAGGAAGAGAATTTTAAACTGCTTGCCAACCTGCTGATGCTAGAGGACCTCTACCTCTCACTTCTAATTAATCATAAAAGAAAAAAATTAATTTAATTACTTTAGCCAATCAAATGCTAACTTAATGGAACTCTTAAATATCCAAAGTAGTAACTGAACTACACAATACTAGTTATAAGGTAAGACAATGATAAAAATCCAGATCCGCTGTTAAAAGTACAAATTCATAGATTATCATATGCCATTCTAAGTATTATCTACCTTTTTAAAAAAATCACAAGTCTTCATCACTTTGGAAAAAAATTTCACTTTTCCTCAAAGGGATATCAATGCTAACTAAATATGATTTAAGACATTTGAGTAAAATGTTTGTTTTTTTCCCCTCACCTACTGGATGTCTCCCAGTGCCATTTAGTAGTTTTATATAAAATACTCCCTACTTGGATTACTCAGGGAAAATAACAATGTAAATGTAGTTCTAGAATACAAAACAGCATTCTCATTTATAAACAAATCTGGAACACAGAAGGCCATCCAAAATATGTCAGTTAATTGAGAGCTGATTTAAAAACTATTCAGTATTTAACATGTAGAGAATTGGAATGCACAATTTCAAACTGTTAGTTCCTGAAGCAGCATGACAAGAACTTATTTATCAAAGACCTTAGTGTTGAACAGCACCCTCGCACCCTCTTCTAATGCATCAGATTTGAACTTCACTATTTCCTTCCAGGAACCAGAATAACAGTGTTGGGCTACAACTACAACTGATCAGTTCAAAAATAGTTTTAAAAATTTGTATGTGTGTGTCATGAATTTCACATTGAAAACCAGACCTCTTTCATTCCAAGGTTATAACCCAGCCAGCTGAAATCAAAGGTTTTTCTCACCGAGGTCCCAGCATATGGATGATTCATCCAAGCACTTGTACTGGAAAGCAGTAATCAAAAAAGAAGTTCTAGGTCAAAGCTTAAGTTACAAAGTACGCGTCACGTCAAATCACATGACTCTTCAACTCCTTTACTGACAACACTTTATAAATCATACCCCCCAAAAGCCCCCCTATTTCCCCCCACCCCAAATGGCAAGAGCTTCTCGGGTCTGAAATATGGTCACGGTAGCTTTTCACTTGGATTCCAGAAACAATCATGGAAGGTGGACTGGACCAAGCTATCTCCTTCCCCGGCGATGACTCGCTAATCAGTGAGCCAACCAATAAAATCGTAATAAATTAGTAATACGCTAATGTAAACCAAAGGACAGGACTGAGCCCTTAAAGGAGAACTATCCACAGAACTGGTGGCTCTTTCAAAGAAAACGCTAGTCATTTTTGGTCCTGCAGTGCAGCGTGTACCTGCTATCTGAACAGGAGCCCAGTCAGTCACGACCTGACACGCAACGATGTGAGTCTGACAGGACCTCAACTAGCGAACTTGTTCATGCATGAATCTTCGCAGGCATTCTCGGTCTGACTTTCTCAGGTCTAAACAGGGAAAAAACTCATGATACACCTTTCACATCACCCGACGCTCAGGGGAATAGCCCTGTGATCAGTACCATAAAGTTGTGAGAACTAATCAAGTCCATTTCTATTAAAAACTTAACTATGTACCAATCTATCTTCTTCAAGTAGCTGTGTCTTGCAAGATCTCCTTCGCAGTAGACCTGCCGCCACCAAGCCTGTAGCAAGGCGCACACAGTGCGTTTCGACTGCTAGGCAGTGGCACAGCCAGCACACTCCTTTGCCCTCAGATACGTTTTTTTAGTCCTTTAAATCTGATACTAATTTAGCAATATTTTTAAAAGTTTTTAAAATGTGGGGGGTTTTTTTCCTCTTAGGCTCACAACAACCTATCTTGTATCCTTTCCTTAGATTTCAGATTATTCCCACGTATTTTTGAAAAGGTTTTGTATCACTTGCTAAATTCAGTTTTTCATCTTTATGAATATAACTTCAAATTCATTGAAATAACTAACTTTGTAATCCGAGAGTTCAAAACCTAACTGACCCACTTTTAGAAACTTTCTTCACAGGTTGCCGTCTTACCATGGCCCTCGGAACACCAAGAACCAGAATTCAGAAGAGCACAATTAACACCCTCATTATATGAAGAAAACCCTGAAATGAACTACAGATCTGTCTCTGTATATACCATTCCCCATGACTTTGCCAGACCTAGTCCACCTTAATGGTTTCCCACGTGGTGAGGTCTACTGCTTGTAAAGTAAGGTCCGACCGAACCAGCACAGAATGTACCAGGCAGGAGCCTCCTGGGAGTTCTTCCAAACACAACTCATCAGAGCGCAGAGTGTGGTACGGGAGCTACACCTGGGACTCATTCAGGTTAATCTAGTTCCCAAAAGTAACAGAAAATCTTCATCACAGAGGTCTCTGACGCGGCCTGGGAGTGTGCCCCCGGAGTGGCATCAGAGCCGATGTCCCATAAACTCGGCCGACCCAACCCGGCCCTTGTCCCTGAACCTGCACCAGCCTGGGGGCGAGGAAAAAATGATCCTCATGTATAAGAACTGTTCAAGTTGAATGTGAAATTAAAAAAAAAAAACAAATGGAAAGAAGTCCACTTTCTTTAATGTACAAAAATGTATGAGTAGAAACAAAAGTGAGTTAAACATTACCACATGTGTCTACACTACTATCTAGTTCTTCAGGTCAACTTTACTCTTCAAACAATAGAGAGGAGGAGGCAATTGAGGGTCTGGGAAAGAGATAAAAAAAAACACAACAATTTTCTACTATGTGTATTCTGTACTGGGCAGAGCTGTGCTCACAGAGACGGCTTCTTTACTTCTCCCCTGTGCAGGCATTCAGTTGTATATAAAGTTGAACCTGAATTTTAAAAAGAACAACAGCTTTATTAAAAACAATATTATTTATGTAGTTTCTACCTGAAATGACAAAGAAATTTATTTAGACATTTCTACCTTCTCTTGACATGTTTTGGCATTTTCTACACCAAGAAACACCTTTCTCTCACCTGTTACATCTTACACATTAAATAACAATGCTGTTGAATAATTACAGACAAAAGAAAGTCTAAATTTGATTGATTACCCACTAATAAATTCCCTGATGGAAAGAAAAGTTTTTTACACTTCATTGTATTCTGACCACTCAGCACAATTTATGACCTGACAGATGGTGTTTAAATAAATGAGTAATGTGCCTTTTTCCCATATCCCATTCTTCGATTTGTAACCCATCAGCAGACCAAGCAGAGGAGTTAAGACATGAAGTTTGATGAGTGTAACAAAAGAGAAAGACCAATTCTACTCAACTAGCTTTCACAGAAAGCAAAGTCACTGCTGGAATTATTTTTAAACTAACATTTATTAAGCTCTTACCAGGTGCCTAACACCAGTATAAGCACTTTATATGTTATTTCACTTATTTCTCATGATTCTATGAAGTGGGGACTACCACCCCCATTTACAGATGAAGAAAGAGGCAAACGGGCGTAACCCTCTGCCTGGGGTCATTGCTACGACGTGCTGAAGGTGATCATCAAACCCAAACACTGACCCAGAATCTGTGTTCCTGACCACCCTGCGAGTCAGCAAATCCTAGCCGTGGCTGGCTCTAAGGGGCTCCACCAGTATGATTCAACCTAAAAAACTCATTTCTCATCACTCCACCTTAAAAAATATATCAAACTCCATGTACAAAATCAGGACTTAATCCCACATGCCCCAATTTGGGCCTATATACAGTAGGTTCTAGAAAGGAAAGAAAATATGTTACACCAAGAGATTCAATCTCCACCTTTTTATGTAGGTAACTCCCTTCATATTTACTGTCCACTACGGCCTATTATTTCACCATCTCTCTTTAAATGCAGACTTCAAACCTAACTAAGAGGATCACATCCAGAGAAGAACACTTCCACAAATACCAGAATGTCATGCCACAGGCCAGGGCCACTTTTGGTCGGTCATGTTTTATCTATGACTCTCACGTGACCTACGGGTCCATCTATTGCCTTACCTTCCTCAAAGACCTAAATTCACGAACTATCCCTCCTCAAGGGGCTCGGAGTATTTTAAATCTGGCAGGGCAAATGAATCAACCACAAGTGTTCAACACTGCGTACCTGCTCAAAAGTTGAGGGAGACTAGAAATGATGGGTCCGTATCCTGGCGCGTTGTCATACAATTCAAACAACGGTGCGGCTACCAGCTTGTAATTTTTAGGGACAGCAAACAAGGCTACAACAAAACAAAACAGTATTCATTTTCTCTATTTCCTTATATAATCATGGCTTTCGCTTCACTTGTAATCTTCAGTTTTACATCTGGGAAACATTTGTGGAGAAAATACTGCTCATTGATACGTTTTGGTTCTGTATTTTAAGCAAAGTTCATAGTAAGAACTTCGAAACGGACTCGCTAAAGAGATCTGTGCTATTAACAACCAAGAGCACCATATGTTATTAAAATGCACAACAAGCCTAAAGATGCTACTCTAAAAATTTCAATTCACCTCTCTCCTACAATTTTCAGTTTATTCCAATGTGAAAATCAATACCAGAAGCTAAACAGTTATTAAAAATAATCTGGTACTTTAGGCTCTAGCTACACTTAATTTCCACCCTGTAGTGTATGACTGGCACATCTATGAGAAAAACTTAAGTAATTCTGTATAAACATGGTATATGTTTTTAATGTTGTGATAAATTCAAAAATTAAAAAAACCTTAATAAAAAAACACAGAGGTATCCTTGAAATTACTCCACAAATGTTTTTAGATGGCTGCATTCAAAAACAAATAACTTACCTTTTTCTTGAAGTTGAACCAAAAACAGCTTCTTATGTTCCTTCGGTTTTGTAATATGTGCAGGAATATATGGATACTGAAACAACGAGAATAATCTGCTGTTACCAAGACATCCCTTACACCGCCACACCTCTATCACCTCTCCCATTTCAGACCTTAAACCCAAATATCATCCCTCTGAGACCAAGTTCCCCATAATCCCAACACAATTCTATTTTAAAATGTATCCTGTGGCTTTATTTCTTTACATGTTTATCCCCCAATACAGTGCAAACTGCTGAGAGAAGTAGACTCCTTTCTAGTCTTCTATTTACTAATAAAGAAATGTTTTAATAAGTACGAAACAACAGTGAATTATTCAACCGTTCAAGACAATAGGTATACACAGAACTTATTTACAGCTTAAGAAATTTAAAACAATGAAGTCTGATATTAAATAGTGCTTTTTTAAAAAATATCATTACAAAGTTTAATTTTCTAGAATCCTGATGTGGATACAACAAAAGTTCCCAAAAGCACACCGCCCAGCATCACCCCATTTCCTTCTACTCAGGATGCGCGCCCCTTTCCTTCCCAGCCTCTTCTCCACAGCCCTCGCCTTGGTGCATAGCCCGCTGCACTCACACAGACTCCCACAGACTGAGACAGGGAGATCGTGTGTGCTCTCTTCCCACTGACACCGAACCAGTGCTCCACGTTCGCTATAACTCCTGTGCTGTATCTTAGACTGGCAGAGCCAAGACATGGGTTCAGTGACTTAAGGCAATTGTCCTACGACCCCTTCCTGGGAGGGGACCTGAAGGGGAGTGCGCAGAAAGTAGCCTGGAGAACTGGGTTATTACTGAGCATTTTCCAGTTATACCAAGGAATGTTCAAAATACGACTGCAATAGCTGCTCTGTGCATTCCTGGCCCAGGAACACCATTTCCAGATGGAACTCTGCTTCCGTTAAGCCAACACAGTTCTCAGGTCGCCAGCGCCAGCTGCCATCACACCTTACCGCCCTCTCCCTCAGCGCCACTGGGGAGTCACAAGAAAGAGGACAGGCAGAACAACCTCATGACTGGCCGACATTCTGTGCAATTCTTGACCTGGAACGTCTTGTCATGCAGAGAAGCTATCAAAGCCATGGAACCCTGTCATAAGAATTCAGCATCTCTTTTCAAGTAGCCCACTGGCCAAAGACAGGAAAATTTACGCACCAGTAACACTAGTTATTACAATGGATTATAAAATACATCAAACATGTTTAAAATCCATGAGGTCAAATGACACTTTAAAAGGTCACTGAAACAGATGCTTTTTGTACCTCTCATCAGTTTCTCATTCCAGCTCAGACTGCAGGGCGGCTGTGTCGGGAAGGGCTGAAAAGCCCCCCGCACCCCCAGGTGCTGCCTCTGGTCCACTCTACTCTTCCGCCTCAAGGCGCTACCAAGGCCCTGGAAAGCCGCTCAGCTAACGCTCAGACTCAGCGTCAAAGTGCAAGCAGTTAACGCACCCCTCGCCTCACTGGGGACAAAGCCAGGGCCTTCCGTCCCTCCTACGGACAGTTCCGAGGTGCACTCCGCAGGGTCCCTCCCAGTCCTCGGCAGGACCCTTCCTGGCGCCCTTAGCTGTGATGAGATCAACGATGTTCCTTTTTGTGACTTCTGTGGCCTCTGGTCCCCCTTCCCCGTATCCTGCCGCTTCTGGGGATCGCCTCCCAAACACAATGACAACAGGGGATGCAGCCAGCAACGCAAGCACTGAGGGCTTTAAACAGCCTGTGCTCATTAACAGATAAACTACAAGGGGAAAAAGAAAGATGGGGAACTAACCTGTAGATGTAAAAAAGACTTAAGAGACTATCCTAATTTGAACAAATTCTAAAAACAAAATAACCAAATGTGAAACTATAAAGGATATGTGAACAGTGACTACATGTTTAATGACATTATGGAATTATTTCTTTTTTTTACTATTGTAATAAATAGTACTGTGGTTTTTTTTTAAAAAAATCCCTCTCTTTTAGAAATGCACACTGGAATATTAACAACTGAAATTCTATCATGGATTTGCTTCATAACAATCTAAAGTGAGGGCAGGGGGAATGGGGAGGGGGGAGGGGCTGACGAAACTTGACAATGAGCTGTTAACAGCTGAAGGTGGGTGACAGTTACGAGGATATGTTTAGTTTTACTATTTCCTCTACTTTTGAATATATTTGAAATTTTCCTTTCAAAGAAAAAAATGCTTGGCTTTTTCATTTTTTATCTAAACTCAGGAGATTAAAAAGGATGTTTCAAGTCAAAGCCTAACATAATCTTTTCAAATGGCTAGAATTAGGTCAGTTCCCTACTCCCCGAAAGCCCAGCAAACACACCCGGGCGCTGACCGACCTGAGGCGGCTCGAAGTTCGGTCTCCACCAGTTCCCGATGCAGTCGTCGATGACCCAGTCCTGCAGGACTCCGTCCTGGCGGCCTAGTATCTGCCAGAAGGAAGCGATGCAGCCAGTGAACAGCGACCCAGGCACGCCCCCGACACCCTTCTGCCAGGAAGGGAATTCTGCCCGCAGCTCTCCTAATAGACATGCTTTCCACACGGACAACAGGGCATCGGGGAACTAAATTCCATTTCCTCTCGTGTACAACTATCCCTTTTTGGCGGAGTTAATAACTATTTCATTTCATGTCATTCGCTATCACTAATTCATCCCCATTTTCCACAGAGGTTAACTTTCTGCCAATTCAAATATCAACTGTTCTATTCACTTCATTTTTCCTAAGAGACGCTCCTCTACCGTCCTGCTCCAACCTGTGGATGCGGAGCCCGCCTCACAGCTGGAGAGCCAGGCCTCCCTTTGCCTCTCTCCTCTCTACATTCTGAGCCCTGTATCTTCTCTCTTAGTTTATTCTGGTGGTGAACACCCCTCTTATTCCTGAGAAAAGGTGTTAAGAGATAACACAGCTTTGGAGACTCCATATGTTGGAAATAACTTTTTATTTTACATGCACACTTGATTTAGTTTGACTACACAGAAAATTCTAGGGTAGAAATCATGTTCCCTCAGATTTAAGAAGCAATGTTCCCTCTTTTAGCTTCCAGCGTTATTTCTGGGAAGTCAATGCCATTTCTGATTTTGATGCTCGTGTTTAAACCATGTCTCTACTCCCCACCCACATTGGAAGCTTGTAGGATTTCCTCTTTATCCTCACTGATTTAAAACTTCATGACGATATATGCTTTTGCACAAATCTTTTGACATTCATCATAGGGGGCAGGCCAGTAGTTCTCTTCAGTCTGAAAACTTACTCTCTTCGAATTTGGGAAATTTTCTTAATTACTTTGCAAATTCTTCTTTTTCCTCTGTCCTTTTTATCTATACAACTGACCCTTGAACAACACGGGTTTGAATTACGCAGGTCCACTTAAACGCAGATTTTTTTTCAATAAACACTGCAAATGTATTTTCTCTTTATAATTTTCTTTTCCTTAGCTTATTTTACATGGGAATACAGTACATAATACATATAACATACAAAGTATGCAAGAGTAGTCAACTGTTTTATGTAACCAAAAGGCTTCTAGTCAACAGCAGGCTATCAGTTAAGTTTTAAAGGGAGTCAAAAGTTTTACATGGATTTTAAACTGTACAGGCAGTTGGTAACCTCTAACCCACACCTAACTCAACAGTCAAGTATAGTTTATATTAGTCCTTCCAGAATGACCTGCTAATTTTATTTTTTCTTAACTATGGTCTATCTTTTCATTCTACTTTCTTGTAGATTCTTTAAATTTAATCTTTTAACTCTACTGAATTTTTCATTCTGCTAATTCGTTTTAATATTCATGAGTTCTTTTTGTTGGTTGAACAGTCTTTTATTATTTTATTTTTTAAATTTTAAAAAAGGACATTTTTTTCATTGCTCTTAGAGAACGAGAAACAAGTATCGATTGGTTGCCTCCTGTAAGTGTCCCGCCCGAGATCCAGCCCACGGCCTCTCAGTGCCCGGGACAGACGCTGCAACCAGCCGCAACCAGCCGAGCCAGCTGGCGAGGGCTGAGGAGCCTTTCTGACTGGCACACTGTTAGACAGATGCAGCATCTCCTTTATCATACCAAGTGTATCGATTGGGACTTTACTGATCACTGAATTTTGTTTCCTTTGAGTTCTTTTTGCTTCTTTTGATCTTTCTTGTTAAGCAGTTTTCTCCAAAAGCCTAGCGATACTTGGTTATCTGCTTACAAATAAGGGTAAAGCAGTAAGATGCTTGTCACCCCTGGGAGCTTGATGCCGGGCCTGCACTCACTCCTTGGAAGAGTCCCAAATGTCACCCATCTGGATTTTGTTGTTTAGTCACTTTCTCCAGAAACAAAACTCCAACCTTCAACTTAGGGTAAACTAGTTGCCAACAAACTATCGGCCTAGCAGGAGAAGCCTAGAAGTCTCACTCTTCACGATGTAAACTTCCACTCATTCTCCCCATCTCAACCTTTTCATTGCTTAATGTTTTCTGATTCTAGCTCTACAAAGAATCGATCCCCAGTTAGACGGTGCCCAACCGGGCGGAGTGGGGAAGACGATCGAGGCATATAAATACATCCCACACAGACTGGCAGTCAGCCCTGGTTTCAGCCCACGCAGGGCCCCACTTCCACAGGCGCCCCCAACCCCGCAGCCTTTCCGGTGTTCCGCACTGCTGGGTGCCGAACCGCCCTCCTGCTGGGCTGACGCTGCCCTGTCGGCCAGGATCTGCCTAACTGCCTTCCAGCTTCCAAAAACTTCTGTTAGAGTCTCCTCTTGCGCTCCTCAGCCCTATTGGATTTATATCCTTTTAAAATCCCCTTACCCCCTTTTTGGTGGAATTTTGAGAAAGAGCTAAGGTAAATAGGTAGGTGTGATCTACCACATGTAAATGAGTACCCAAGAACAGCACAATATTTAAAAGTTACCAGAAAGAATAATAGGTTGAAGTGGTAGAATTACAGGTTATTCTAGTTTTGTTTCTACTTTTCTGTGTTTGCCGAGGTTTTTGCAAAGAATATGTATTAGTTTTGTATATAAAGGGGAGGGGCAGGTTGCATGCTAAAAAAGTATTTAATAACAAAAACAATCTATAATCTCAAAAACCTCCAGATTCTGTACATTTGGCTCAAAATCTTCAGAGGCAGACATGAGAATGACTTTTACACGGCAGTATACTTGAAGCCCTGGCTGGGTGGCTCAGTCAGTTAAAGCATCACCCCAATACTCCAAGGACGCAGGTTCAATCTCCAGAGAGGACACATACAAGAATCAACCAATGAGTGCATGAATAAGTGGAATAACAAATTGATGTGCAAAAATGAAAATAGGTACATAACAGAAATCATTCTCTTATCAAAATTCTGTATGGCCTGCTACGGAACAAAACGACCCGCACTCAAAGCTCCAGCTCCGTTGACATGCTAGCTGTGTAACACCAAGCAAGCTCCCTGAACTCTCTGTGCCCCAGTTTTCTTATCAGTAAAACTGAATTAGTAATAGTTCCTACTTCCTAGGTCTGTTGTGATAACCAAAGGAGTTACTGCACGTAAAACACTTAGTGCCTAGTACAGTAAGTGCCCAATAAATGTTGGCTTTTATTATCCATTACTGTTACATAAACACAAAGAAAGTAGAAGTTCAACTTGCAGAAAATAAACATTGTACATACTACCACTCTGGAATTTAAGTTTTATTTATTGAAAAGTAAATGTTCAAAACAAAGTTATCCTTTTCATGAGACATAAAAAGCCTAATTATCCAGTAAGTGGATGGTATCAACAAGGGCAATAATGAAACCGTCGAAGTGGTGAAATAGAAAAATACCTCTGTCATTAAGCGTTTTAGTCCTTCAACTTCATCTTCTCCTGGGTTAAGTTCACCACCAGGTCTGCATAAAGGTTAAGAATTTCAGCTTTCAAATCAATACAATTTTGGGAGAAGGCAATAATACTTATTTCTCTCAAGTAACTGAGTATCACGTATTTCAGTGTCACATGAGGCAATCAAAGGGAGAAGGAAGAATATTCTAGAAATAGAAAGCTGAATTCATGTTAATTTGCCAGACTAATCATAACACAAACTCTAATTTTAAACAAAATATGTACTGTAATATAAACATTACATAATTGCTGACCACCAGTCCATCCCAATCTTTTTCTGGAAGCTATCTAGTGTTAATGAAGTCTAAAAATGTCCAGAGAGCAATGAACCACACATTCTCTAAGTCTGAAGAATGGGGCATTTTCCCAGAACTCCACCCTAAATATTTAAGACTACTTTTGGTACAATGTGGTCAAATAGTTGTGAACTGTATGTATATCGAGAAATTCATGAGCTTAAACGATAAAGCTAGATAATTATCTATAAAAATATAAGCCATTTTAAGAATAGAAAACACACTTCATCCAAAGAAATGATATCAATTGTTTTTAGTAATGCTACAATGACATCTAGTAATTGAACTTCGGACCAATTTGTTTAACAGGGCTCCCACCACGCTCAGTCATTAACATCAACGATACACAGAAACATGCAGATTTCTAGTTAGGCAATAAATGAGCACTGTCCTGGAGAAAAATTACTGGTGCTATTCTTCTAAAGACTCCAGGAACAGCCGTGTTTGTTGAGATAAACGCCTAAGGACTAAATCTACATTCCAAAGCCACATAAAACAGCAATCCTAGTAAAAGCGGTCTTGCTGTTCATTTTCCAATGACACTTACAGTTTGAAGAAAGTTGTTCCCAGCTGTAGCAGTAGCACATGGGGTAGCCGGTGCTCATGTACAATCAGAACCCCTTCTACAGTCCTCCTCATTCCAATTTTATCAAATTCCTCCCTCATGCGTTGAAATCTGGCTGCAACAGAGCTATCCTTCTCGTAGAGGGGCTCTTTTGTACCAAAAGTGTAATTGGTAAGAGGGTACCTGTGATCCAAAGACAAAGATTGCACAGTGAGACCTGGAGACCGTAATATACCATCACAGATACCAACCATGCTTAACACACACCCCCCCCCCCCCCATGGTAAAAAGTGTGTACTGTACTCAGAGCCACAGGATTTGTCCAAAGTTACACAGCTAGTTAACGAGACAGCAGAGACTAGGATCCAGGTCTTGGGACTCTAAAACCGGAGCTTGTAGTAGGACAAGCCTGTTACTCTACAGCTGAACTTTCAAGCGTAGATAATACTATCCATAAGGCTCTTCCATGCTTACAGAAGCGGTTATCTGGACATCTGGTCATGGCTAGTGTAGTAACACTGCCAAGCTGGCTAACATCCCTTTGGGCTCCTCTGACTGCTCATCTAGACAGAAATTCTATTAATTACGGGCACCAATGGCTAATCTCTTTTTCTACAAGTTGAGCCGTCACTTCCATCATCTCTCCTGTTATCTCTACTTCCCCCGTCAACTATCCTCAGACTCTTTTGGTACCCCAACCCTTTCATCTCCAGATAAACTTTTCTTTCTCCTTTAAAACCTTCTGCATTTATTTCATTCATTATCCTTATTCTTCTCCTCATTCAATCTTCTATCCACCATACTTAATCTGAATATTTGCTCCTCCGTTATCAAGAATGCAAAATATGGCTCATATTGCTAAAGAGTTTCCAAATTGCCCAATAAAGATCAAATTTTTCCTCAAAAATAATTTAAAATACCATTTTATATGTGTATCACACGTATCACCCTGTAACCCCTCAATCCTAAGACTTACAGTAAGAAGTCTTTGAGATAAGAACGCTTTGACTACACTGCCTATCCCCAAGGTATCTTTTTTATAAAAACACCTTGACCTAAGTCAGTAGCTACATAAATAATCCACTCCACTATTCTTGAAAGGGGAACAACTCAAGGTTGCCAAAACTTCAAAAGTTAATTCAAGAAGCCAGATTCTAAGCATAAACGAAGCAGCTCTTAAATATACAATTTCCAGAGTGCTTTAAAGATTTTTAGAAAGACCTTTCCCAATAGTTCCAATGCTGAATCTACCATCGTTAGCAGTAGCAACCTTACACAACACTACGTGCCAGGCAGTTTTTTAAAATGCTTTTTATTTATAAACATTTAGTACTCACAAACTAAATTATATAGAATTAAGGACAGCTATAACACAACTCTACTACAAGAGCCAGCCCCCACATCAAATAAGGGGATGCAATCAAGACGAAATATCATTTTCAGCTGTGAAATCGGTGCCAGCCGGGACACACACATATTATTTCCATCATACTGTGAGCTTTATAAAGCAGGGACAACATCTTACTTCCTCACCTCTGTATATCCAGCATTATGCCCAATGCCTGGAACAAAGTAGGCATTTATGCAGTATTTTCTAAAAGAAAATACACTGGGGGAGAGAGGACTTATTTTTCAATTTAGATCGTTACACACAAGAGTTTACAACATGATGATTATTTCTGAATACTGCATTTATATAGAAGTACTGTAAATCCATCAACCGTAACTTTAAGGGAGTAAAGATTAAAACATTTTCATCAAATTAAGTCTACATAATGGCTTAGTGCAAATTGAGCTAATAATCAAGGCAAATCAAGGGAAAACTGTGAGTCCTAGTTCTAATCACCACTAAAAGTGATCCAGAAGCTGTGCTTTCGTGTTTTTAAAAAGGGCAACATTTGCTTATCCCACTTCATGGGAATTCTATGAGGATTTTTAAAAGAAATGATATGAAATTAAAATTATTATTATGATAACATAATAGCTATGCACTTGCATACACACAACTATCTACTAATTTCAGATTTCATACGCCTAATGTTTTGTAATCTAAATTTCCAGGCCAGCACCTGTTTTGCCAAACGAAACAATAACCATCCTTCCCATTTCAAATCTCTTTTGTGGGGGAAAATTCATTTATTTGAATATGAAACAGAGGAAACACCTAAAGCGTCCTACAAAAACACCAGTATTGTCAGTAAACCCTTGCACCTTTCAAACACTGAACACAATTAAGTGGCCACCTTCCTCCATTAGGACCAGCACCACAGTGTCTCACAAACTCTCAAGGACAGTAAGATACGAGCATCCTGACGAATTCTTGAGCAAGACACAGCCCAAATGCCAAATTACCAGCCTTACCCGCCACAGCGAGGTTATTGAGGAGCGTGAACTCGAAATGCAAGGCTTTTAGGTGCTTAAAAAGGAAGGTGTAGATAACAAGACGCAGCCACAATGGGTTCCCTGGGGCTGCATTATAGGCCCCTCCACTGTCTGAAAGCCTAACCCTAACAGCATCCACCCTCCCAAGGGGGGCCTCCTGGGTGCCTGGACGCTCCCACGAAGCAGAGGCAGAATGGACTTGACAACGCACAGCGCAGGCCAGACAGCCTGAAGCACACGAATAAAATGTATGTTCACGAGCTGAAATGCAATTTGGAGTTAAGACGGAAAAAACTAGGGCTCCGCACAATAGCTACATCTCGAAAGCTTACTGTTAGAAAGATAAGCACCACGTTTTGCCGTTATCTCTGGGGAGGTTGAGAAAAGGGTTCAAAGCCAACTCCCGTTCTTCCTCCCACTGATTCCAGGGGCAGAGGAAGAAGCCTTCTTTCCGGAAAAGGAAAACCCTCTCAAATAGGACGCTAACCCCTTGGCGCTGGAGAACAAGGAAGGGGTCTGTGGGAGGCTAGACAGGCCCGCGCTCACAAGCGGGAGTGGGGGTGGTGGGGAGGCGTGGAGCCTGCGAGGGCTGGGGGCGCGCCAGAAGAGAAGATCGGGGTCTTTACCAGCGCTCCCTAGAAGGGTAAGCCGGTGAAGGCAGCGCGGGAAGGCCAGGCCGCACTTACAGGTTGATTGTGCGCTCCAAGGTGAGGGGCTTGGTCTGCTGGATGTACTTGTTGCCGAACTGGTTGACGCCCCGGGGCCAGCCGGTCTGCGAACGATTGGGCGGCACCACGGACATGATGACGAGCACTGATGGCGAGCGGCAAGGAGGAGAAGCGGGGAGACTTTCCCGGTGCGGGCAGCGGTGGTCTGCGTCCCACTCAGCAGCCGCCGCCCGCCATTAACAAGGGAAGAGGTGTTCGGTCGCCGGAAGTGCACCCAGAACCTCTGGCGGCAGGAAGTAGAGAGGAGGTGGCCTGCTAGGCCGAGCACCATTGGAACGGTCGCTGGTGGGATGACCGCAATATCTGGAGCTCCCATTGGTAAGTCATGTATGGGTTCCGCCTTCTTTTGCCTTAATACTTTCTATTGGATGGCGCTGGGAAAGAGCGCATTCTGGGAACTGTAGTCTTCGTAGGAAAATAGCTGCTGGATCAACGCGGTGTGGGTCTGTAGCTCTAGAGATGAGCGGGAAAAGGCCAGCTGAGCCCACTCCGGGCCAGGCGGGGAAAAAGAGAAAGAAGGAGGTGATGGTGGAGTTTTCGGGTCTTATCACGGAGGAAATCTTGAAAAAGCAGGTGGCGGAGGCCTGGAGCCTCAGGACGCCGTTCAGTCACGGTAACCTGCTGCTGTGAAGGGGGGCCGCTGCGCGATGTCTGGGGGGTTCTGAAAGTCCTGGCACTCCAGCCGAGCCCGGGGCAGCAGGGACACAAGGGAGGGAGCCTGGCTTTGGCCACCTCCGACCCTCCTGCCTGACCTGCTGCCCGCTTTCATTCCAAGTTCAGTTGGGATTTAAAAACCCGAGAAGTGGAAGAAACGTAAGCCAGAGAGTTTGGGAGAGTAGAGGGCGTAAACTTCATAGTTGCCTTCTGGAAGCAAGGATTAGGAGTTCGAATCCTGTCCACTGGTCGTTGTCAATGGGTTTAACTTTTTAAAACTTCAATTTCTGCTTATGTAAAAAAGGATAGCTCATAGTATTTACCTCGGAAAGATGTTGAATGAGATTAATAAGGTAATGCATGTATGCATGCATCAATAAATGGTTCCCTGAGAAAGAACCGATAAACCCTTGGACAAATATTTGGGTGGCGTAATTTACATTTTCCTCTAAAGATAAAGCTCGGTTGTCCCGTGACAGTAGAGCCAGAGTATTGAGCTGGTAGGTAGCCATCACCTGAGCGTCCTCGGTTTCTTACGTGCCTATAGTTCAACTGCATGACCTATGAAAGTAAACGTTTGTTGCTCAAAGAAGGAACCTGTCATGAACAATTCCAACCTCAGCTTCACATGTCACCTTATAGGACACAAAGTCTGCTCCATGCAGCAAGCTTTCCCCTCTAAAGTTTGCTGTGATTTTGTGTCAGTGAAGTGCTTTCGAGAGGTGAGTCCTGGGGGCTCTGGATGCACCTAGAAAGTGACAGCCCCCAGCTGTAGACAGCTGGCTAGGTTGCCTTGTACCTAGGCAAGTGCTCCGCTGCTGGGAGAATGGGAGAACAGCAGCTGGCAGCTTGTTGGCGTGCTAGGCCTGGTTCGTGCCAACTCTGTTAACTATACCATGATACCAGCATAGTTGGGGGTGGGGAGAAAATGATAGCTCAGTGCTTAAAATGCAAGCTCTGTACACTCAGGAACTTCTCAATATCCTCATCTGTAGCATGGAGTGCTAATGTCTGCTTTAGAGTTGTGGAGAAGATTAAATGAGATCATGCTTGTAATAAAGCCCGGCTGTGCTTGGCACTAAGTAGGGGCTGCTGGTGATTGTTAGAGGGGTGCATAATCTAAGCCACAAGAAGCAGCAGGTACCATGTTGAAAGAGAAGTCCAGGGATTAGAAGGGGTTATATGCCTGAACTGATTTTTTTTTTTTTTAAGAAAAAACTAAGAGTGTATATTGTAACAGCTTAGACAATAACTTAGGAAAGAAAAAGGGTTGAAGGAAAATAGCCAGCCAGTATTGCAATTCTCATTTCTAATTTGCTACTCTCATTTTAAGTTTGGAGGGAAATAAATTAAGACTCTAAAGTACATTCAATTCAACACATAAACATCAAATTAACCCACCCCCACCCAAGAGCAGGAACCAGAGCTCAGTGATGTCATGTGTACACATCCTAAGGCCTAATATTTTAAGCATAGTATCTTTAAAAAAAGTAATATTGAGTGGGTAAAGAAAAAAGAGACGAGCTTATAATTCTTCCCCCAGATCTTAGACTTTAGTTACTTTCCTGAAAATTCCTGACCATGGCCCTTTGTATTCTGTGTACTGTGTTACTCAGGGGTCAGAAAAGCCATGTTTTCTCTTGTTTTCTCTCCCACAGAAGCCATTGCCATGAACATGGACCCCTTTCTTCACTGCGTGATCCCAAACTTCATCCCAAGTCCAACCTTTTTGGAAGGGCTTCAGAAGGAACTTTTGAACTTGGACTTCCATGAAAAGTATAATGATTTATATAAGTTCCAGCAGGTATTTATGCCCCTTTCCATTTGTTCTTCCACTTCAGAAATTCATTATTTGTACAGTCATTCAGTACTTTCAGACTTGAGGTTTCAGATTGGGTTTGCCTTGGACAGTCCTTGCCTTGATGTTATTAAAAGTATTTGTCCATTTAACATAAGCTCACTGAGTGTCAACTACGTGTTAGGTGCTGTAGTTATTCTATGGGAGTCTTTGCCAGTTCTTGGCCTGTGACACTTTAAAAGCAAAAACGTTAGAGGTGATAGTGACGGTGACGGTCAGGAAATACAGTGACCCAGTACATCAGCACATTATACACAGGGGTGAGTTGCAGTGTGAGGAGTGGTATACCTAAGAGAGTTGTACATTGGAAGATAATAACCGTTTAAATTTTTGAGTTCATGTCTTTGTTTAGCTGGCTTGATAATATTGTAATATGCTATCCTTTCCGTTTGTCAGATGGTTAACATGATAACCTCGTTACATGAATTTTATCTCAATTTGAAGAAACATAAGTGGAATCATGTAATTCCTTTGCTCAAAAACTGTAGTGATTCCTAGTGTTTTTTTTTTTAAGGCTCAGTTTGTTTTTTTCTTAAAGATTTTATTTATTTATTTATTTATTTATTTTTAGAGAGAGGGGAAGGGAGGGAGAAAGAGAGGGAAACATCAATGTGTGGTTGCCTCTTGCGAGTCCCACTACTGGGGACCTGGCCCACAACCTGGGCGTGTACACTGACTCCTCACTGGGATTCGAACCTGCAACCCTTTAGCTCTCAGGACAGCCTCAGTGCACTGAGCCACACTAGCCTGGATGGTTCCTTGTATTTTTAAGTGAAACCCGAAGTACTTAGAATGGCTCTACGGCCCCACCGCCTCTCTGGCCTCATCTCCTGCTGCTCTCCCGCTCACTCTCTCCGCGCTCACCGCAGTCTCCGTGCGATTTCCTGAACAAGCCAGGCACGCTCCTCCCTCGGCGTCTTGAATCCTCTTTGCCTAGATGGCCCTCTGTCATACTTCCTAAGTCTTCAGTTCACTTCCAGGAAGCCTGGCCTGGCCAACTTGTTTCTATTAACAAACTCTTCCCCCCTTAGCATTTCTGACCCCCCCGACCCTGCTGGGATTTTCCTATGCATTTATCACCTTTTATTCTAATTACCGACTTTTTATGTTTATTGTCTGTCTCCCTCAACAAGAATATAAGCTCCACTGTAATAACTCCTTAAGCATTTGTTGATGAATAAGGCCTAGAGAGGCGGAGTAACTTGCCTGAGTCACAGACCTGCCCAGAGGGCCGTGCACCAACCCAGGCAGCTTGGCCCCAGTGTCCAGGCCTCTGCGCCACAGTGCCAGACCGCCAGGGCACTCACCACGCCGCCCTCCGGTGTGCTCCTGATGCGTGAAGAAAACCCTTTTCTCTCTTTTCATGACCAAGTCTGATGACCTGAAGAAGAGAAGAGAGCCTCACATCTGTGCTTTAAGGTAAACAAGTAATCGTATCTCTTGGGTGCCTAATACATGCCAGGCTGACTAGTAAATGCGTTAAACATTAGGTCATGCAATCTCTGTTGACATGATTAGCCCTCTTTGCAGAGGAGGAAACAGACTCAGAAATTAAGTAACTTCTTCAAGGCCACCTCGATAAAAATCGAGGGAGCTCAGATGCAAACCCAAGACTGATTCCAGGGCCCACATTCTCAATGACAAAAACGTTCACCTGTGTTAGTAATCATGAAAACAAATGAACACTGAGCTAACTTGCTTCACCTATTTGGTTGGCAAATATTAGAAACAAAAACTCCGGTGTTGACAGACGTGTAGATACTTTTATGCACTGCTGCAGTCTTTCTTAGAAGGTGTCGTTGAAAGATGTATCAAAACGTTGAAAATTAGGCTTAGCTTTTTGTAGTATAATTCCACTTGTAAGAATTTATCCAAAGAAAATAAGGATGTGCCCTGAGAATATTACTCCTAAACTGTGCAAGTTTAAAGTGAGAACACTGTTGAGAATGGATCTCTTGGATAAACCACAGCCTCCAGGAAAAAATAGCTGTGGCATAGACCCAAATGTAGCCCGCTCTGTGGCATAACAGTTACCCTGTTTGCTTTTCTAGGAAAATTCTGTTTGAAGATTTCCGGGCTTGGCTCTCTGATGTTTCCAAGATTGACCTGGAATCAACCATTGACATGTCCTGTGCTAAATATGAATTCTCGGGTAAGAAAGGGAAAGCCCTGATGTCTGTAGGGTTTAAAGTCTTTAACTAGACAATGGTGGAAAGATAGTGTCAGTGGATCGAAATCCCAGACTGTGTCCCCTCTAACATCGGGATCTTAAGAAGGAAGATCTGACCGGCCCACATATAGCAGTGCCCACCGCCTTGGAAGGTAGAAGGCAGTACTTCTCTCTGAGAATATGGTGAAAGCTATTGCCCCTATTTTCAGAAAAGGGCTCATAATGCACATGCACTCCAACTTGTCATATAATATCTGGAAATTCAGAGGTGATACGTAAACTCTCCTCTTAAACGTCTTAGGAAGCAAATGTCTTCCTCAACATCATTTTTTTTTCTTTTGAAGGTAATAGTGAACACACTCTTCAGGGAAAAAAATTCAAATACAGAAATACACAACATAAACCTTGATAGTCCCCTGCACCTGCTCCTCGCCCCTGCGCCTTCTCTGCAGAGGTATCCGCCGTCACCAGTCGGGGGTGCCCCCTCCCAGTTCCCTTTCCGAGCATGCACGTGTCTTTTTGAAAACATGTTGGGTATTTTTGCCTGGAAGGAAAAGAGTTGTGTTTTGTTTTGTTTTGATTTGGGTTTCACTCCTGGAAGTTTAACATGGTGACAACTTTTTGAGGATAACTTAGTGATCCACATGAAGAGTCATATCATACGCCCTTTTTTAACTTTATTTTTTCTTTTTACTTTGAAGTAATTTCAAATTTACAGAGAAGTGGCATGCATAGTACAAATCATTTTTATTCTATTTTACTTGAAAGCAGGCTACCGTTGTCGTGCTCCGTGGCCCTGAATGACTTCAGTAATTCATACACCAAGGACATTGTCCTACGTGATAGTAATAAACCATCCAAGTCAGAAAATTAAGATGGATGCATTATTCCCATCTAATCCACAGGCTCCGTTTAGGTCCTGTGTAGCGGAGGAACCAGTCCAGGATTGCGCGTTGCACTCACTAGTCATGTCTCCTTAGGCTCCCTCAGTCTGGAACAGTTCCCCAGGGTCCCCTTGACAGGCATGACCTTGATGCTGCTGAAGATTTGCGGAGTTGCTGTTTTTTTAAAACTTGCCCCAGTTCACTTTTGTCCGGTGCTTCCTCAGAACCTGAGTCAAGCCGTGCAATTCTGACAGGAATGTTACAGAATTCTGTGTTCTCTTTGCTGCACCCTGTCAAGCGCTGCATGGTTTCTGTGTGTTACTAGCTTTGATCAGTTAAAATCAAGGTGGTGGCTGGAGTGTTCTTCTATTGTAAACTTGTCCTTTTCTGTCTGTAAGTTAACTATTCTGTGGGGAGGAACGTTAAGGTTATATAAATTTCCCACTCATCACACTTCGTTCATTCGGTTTAGCATCCACTGATTATTTCTTGCCAAATTATTACTATGCAGGTTGCCAAATGGTGCATTTTGCAATAAAATCATTTCTTCTATATTTATTAGTTTTTATTCTACCATAAAGACAACCTTTTTCTCTCCCTGTTTATCTCTTTATTCCCTCATTTCTGTCAGCATGAGTTTATGGATCATTGTGTATGTAATGGGCAGTTACCAGTTACTGCCATTATACCGATGCTCACATTGTCCCTGATCTGATCAAAGGGCACCCTTTAAACTGATTTCTGTGTCCCTTAGTTATGTCCCCATAACTCATATATGTCTTACTTTCTGGCAAAACAAGATTATCCAGGTTTATCATATATTTTCTTGCTCTGGACTTTGAGTTGGCCATTCTTCCAAAGAACCCTGGTTGATTTTAAGTGAAGAATGATATTTAATAATCAAGGTCTCCTGGACTCAAGTTGTTCTTGCTATTAGGGTGTCACTGCTCCAAAACCCTTTCAGAGGGAGGAAGCAGCAAATGTATGCGGGTACATGCCTGCATTTACGTGTGTGTTACTCCGCTCTCTGTATTTATATCTAGGCGTCTAGGTGAAGATCTCTGTAGATGTGTATGTATATAGGAAACTGAATTCACTGATTCCTCCGATTCCAGTTCCACGCCATAGGGTTCATTCGAGAGTCCTCCTTTTCCACGTGGGTAATTCTCCCCTTTGACAGTGAGAAACCTGCGTTGCCTTAGCTTCGGTATATTTATTGTCAGCCTGGCCCCTCCGTGTGCGGACAGCCTCGGTTCACCGGAGCGGCCCTTCCTCCCGCCCTGCACGTCTCCTCCTGTGCTCAGCCCCACCCCGCTGGTTTTAGAATTTTAACTTAAGAAATCAATGGGAACAAGTACAAAAAATAATGTCCCTTAAAAGTCTTCCTTAACAGACAAGAAATGGAAACAACATAAAGGATTGATTAAGGGGGGAGGGAGGCAATTCATAACCCACATAGTGGAACAACTGTGCGGCCATGAAAAGAGATGACAGGTATGTATATTGATAGGGAAAGACACTTGCCACGCAGTACAAGTTTAAAGAGCAGGCCACCAAACAACCACTGGAGGATACCATTTTTTTTTCCAAAAGCAAATACATGTGTGTAGAACAAGTATTGGAAGAAATACGTAAAAATGTTGTTAGTGATCATCTCAGGGTCTAACCACATATGTGCTCCTCGGTGTCCGTACAGTTGGCACTTTCACTTCTATAATTAGACGAGAGGAGAAATCAGTGTCACTCGACGGCTGGAGGAGCCGATGTTAGGGATGAGCATCAGGCAAACAGAGACGCAGGGCCCGGCCCGCCACCCCGGCCTGCGCAGGGGCGTGAGGCTACGTGTTGTACTTGCAGATGCCCTGCTCTGCCACGACGACGAGCTGGAGGGGCGCCGAGTCGCCTTCATCCTCTACCTGGTCCCCCCCTGGGACGGGAGCCTGGGCGGCACCCTGGATTTGTACAACGTTGACGGTAAGGCGCCCGCTTGCTCTTCAGCACCCACAGCTGCTTCTCAGTCGTTAGGCACAGCATCTGCACCCCTCAGAAGAGAGGGAGCCGTTGACCGCTGTGGCTCTGCAGGCGGCCTTAGTGCTGCCCTGACGACCACCTGGCTAGGCTGTGCCGGAGGTAATCACGGCTCTGGGGACAAAGCAGAGCTGATACGGACAAGGAGTAGTCAGACCAGGCTTCTGACCACGGGCCGCAGAAGGGTAGTGGCAAGCGTATGCAGCTGCCTGTGGCTGTGACTCTGCCAGGACCAGCCCATTCGACAGGAAGTCGGGGCTCTTTATTGTAATGACTGGCCCCAGAGTTTGACTCCCAGAAACTTTCAGCCGTCACCCAACAATAGATGGGTGGTCACTGGAAGAAAAGGTGTCACCTGGCAGAATTGGCAAGTCTGAGTGAAACCGCTGGCAGGGGTGGTATTGGGGGGATCTTTGGGGATCAGAAGGGTACATCTAGATACCCTCAGAAATCGGAGGGTTGTCAAGGTGACGCGGGGTGGCCTGGAAGTGAAAGGATAATGAAATCATTTTTATGGGCGTGTTCTCTCCTGGTGCAGAACACTTTCAGCCGAAGCAGATCGTCAAGTCTCTTATCCCCTCGTGGAACACACTGGTTTTCTTTGAAGTGTCTCCAGTGTCCTTTCACCAGGTAAAGACTGTGAGCCACAAGCGTGTAGAGCGCTAAGGACCCCGCCTCTTAGTCGCCCATTATCTAAATGTGACAGCTTCCTGTTGGACTTACCTGACCAGATTGTCTTCACACCTAACGTGAAGGTTCCCGAAATCTGTGTGCCGTGGCTGGTCATCCTCTTCCTCATTCTTTGCGTTGATGTACCACTGGTCTTGTCCTTTCAGGTGTCTGAAGTTCTGTCTGAAGAAAAGTCACGTTTGTCCATAAGTGGCTGGTTTCACGGCCCCTCCCTGACCCGGCCTCCCACCTACTTGGAACCTCCTGTACCTCGGAACCCTCATATCCCACAAGACGTAAGGATAAATTCCTGCTGCTGGATTCTTACCTTAGCCGCTGTAACATATCGCTTGTTTTTGTGGTTTTGAAAGTGGCTATTCCTGACAGTGAAGCTAGACTTGGAGCTTGGGGCGTCCACTTTTCCTGGGTAGACTGTGGACAGTGTCCTTCTCAGGGAGCTTTCCAGCACTTTTTTAACAAGGAGACAATATACAGTGAGGATTTTCATATACTATGTTACAACTATAAAGTGATGTAAGAACAAAAGCAGTAGGAATTATTAACTCACGTTTTGCATCTGCTGCTTCTTTGTAAGCATGAAATTTTATATGAGTGGATCAACCCTACTTATCTGGACATGGATCACCAAATTCAAATTCAAGAGGAGTTTGAAGAACAGTCCGAAATTCTCCTAAAGGATTTCCTTAAGGTAGGTGCACACACCCTGTCCGGTGTGACTTGTTTGGCACGCTGCAGTCTTGCCTCTTGGGTGGGTGAATAGGCATCACCAAGAGACTTTTCTTCCCGCCTAGAATGTTTAGGTCATCCTCTACTTTGAGTAAAATACAGAAACAATGTTAATAACTAACAGTGGTATCAATTGCTTGCTTACTAGGTTAAGAGACCCCTGGGTATTCCCCAGTTTTCTAGAACCTTAATGGTACACACAGATACACACAACACACACACACACACACACACACAGAAGCTTCTATACTGAGAGGGAGTTGCATGGAGTTCCCTTCCTATTCATTTGGTGACGCTGGTGCGTACTGTTACTTTTAGAGATAGACATTGCTGGTCGATCAGCACCTGTGGGTGAATGTGATGGTGAGGAGGCAGCACTTTGCAGTGGGGAGGGAGCTGGCTCAGAAGTCAGAGGCCTCACATTCATGTCCTGGCTCTGTGACTTTACTAGCCTGACCAAGTCACTTGGTCTGAGCTTTCAACCTGCCTTGTCCATCTTGAAGAGTTGTGGTGAGGGCCAAACGAGACCACGTGCTCTGGTGTGGCACCTCGCAGTTGACCCACAGAATCACGGTCCCAAGAGCTGTTCCTTCATGCAAAAAAGGTCGACAATACATACTGTATCTCTCTCTCTCTCTCTCTCTCTCTCTCTCAATTTTATAGCATGTTAAGGAATTTCAGAAGTATTACACTAAGGAAACTTATTTAATCCGATTTAATCCAGTGTAACTAAACCATACTCTGAGATCCTTTTCTAGTTAAGCTACAGGCCTTCTGTTTTCAGAACACTCCTTGGGAAACTGCATTAAACAAGCACATAGAAGGCCTCCCAAGGAGAATATTTCAGCAGGTTAATCAGCTTCTTGTACTCAGCTTGACGTTTTAAATTTACAGTGTTGATTAAATGAAGGGAACGAGCTAAGGCCTAGAGAATTCATGTTGTTAACACTGATTTTCATTGTAATGACAGTGACTGCTTTGCAGTTTAATTTTTTTCCCTTACATCTTATGAATTAAAGAATCTGTATTATGATCATCATTTTATAAATGAAGGAGTTTGAGAGGCTGAGCAATTTGACATAAGATAAACAACTACTTAAGGAAATGGCCCAGGTTGACACTTGGGTCTCCTGGCTAAAGCATGCTGGCGATTTATCCCATCTTCACTCTGGCTTCACCGTCCAGGCCTGGGGGATGTTGTGTGAAAGCGGGGGAGAGCCAGCTGACCCCCACAGGAATCAGCCCCATGATCCTGCTGAGCTGCTGCACTGGCAAGACCAGTGTGGGGTCCCAAGCAGATTTGCCGACTGCTTCTTTGTCTGCTCACTTTCCAGCCCGAGAAATTTGCAGCGGTCTGTGAGGCTTTGGAGAAAGGCGATGTGAGATGGAGCAGCCGAGGTCCCCCTAACAAAAGGTAGAACCCAACATCCAAGACATTTGCTTCTGCATTTGGCACCTGCCTGTTTGTCTGCAAAGCTCACATCCAGTGATAGGACAGTCACCTTAACCGAGTCTGGTTCCCAGGGACTTCCGATGGCAGACCCGAGCACGCCGCACGGTTGTAACAACGCGTGCGTTAGCAAGCTGTGCCAAGCCCCAGGGAGGGAGGGACAAATCTAACAGGCAGCTCCCTTCTGTGAGTTATTTCACGTCTGCAGCGCTGACGGGAGCTGCTGTTGCTACTTTCCAGGTTTTACGAGAAAGCCGAGGAGAGCACGCTTCCAGACGTACTGAGGGACTGCATGACGTTGTTCCGCTCCGAGGCTCTGTTCTTGCTGCTGTCCAACTTCACAGGCCTCAGACTTCACTTCCTGGCCCCTTCAGAGGAAGATGAGACGGAGGACACTGCCTCTGCTCCTGACAGCACTGAGGAAGGGACAAGCTATAGCTCCTCTGAGCTGCAGAACAGCCAGGAGGCCAGCAGCCGCCATGGCCAGCGGAGCAACGAGCAGGCAGGCCCGGGGCCAGAGGAACACGAAGCCAAAGAGGGTAAGCTGTTGCTACGGCTTGTCCCGGCTTTCCATTACACATTCACCATTCAGTCATTTACTCCACAAATACTTGAGCATCTCCCGTCTGCTAGGTCTTGTTTCGGGAGCTGGAGAACAAGAAAGACAAGGTCCCTGCCGTCCTTGAGCTTACACTCTAAAAGGAGAGGACAGATTAAATGTATGCACCAACAACTAGAAAACGTCGAATAATGACAAATGCTATGCAGGTCGTTTCCATAGGGTTACGTGCTGAGGAATGACTGGCTGCGTGGCCGCTAAGTGAATGCGCAGCCTGGGAAAGCTGTCAGCTGAGCTCAGATCTGAGGGACAGGAAGGACCTGCGGGAAGAGCATTCCAGGTGGGAGGGACAGCTGGTACATTTTATCAGTACAAACAGGGGACAGAAATGTGACCGTCTCTGCCTAAAACTACTCTGAAACACAAGACCATTAAGGAAAGGAAGGCATGCAGCTTATTTCTGCAAAGGATTAATAGCAGGCTAATAAAAACTTGTCGGAATTTGGACACATGGGGAGAAGGAAATTATTAAAAATAGAGGAAAGAAAAAGGTAAGAGGCACTGCTTCTGTGGAAATGTCAGCCCCATTACCTGAGCAGCTATAAAGTCAGCGTAAAGGTTACAGCACAGATGAAATCACATTAGAAGTCTGTTCCCTGCTGCCACTCTGACTGCTTGAGAAGGACCCTGTGCAGTGAATACCATGGAATCAGGAAGGTGATACTGGGGAAGTAAGGCGAGCGGTGTGAGATGCTCGCCACACACAGCGGAACTCGCGTTCTGTAGGCTTCCGTCCCGGCTGACCTGTCGCTTTGGTTGCCCCAGATGTTTAGAAAAACCAAAGTATTTCTCCACTTCTTTTCCTTTTTGGTTTTGTTTTTATGGGAATCTGCAGCTTAGAAGAAAACTTATAATGAGCAGCCAAAAGATGCTTTATTCTGCGATTGTGCATCTACTGCATGCAAGGCTCTGGCCGTAGCAAGTGGGGGATACAGAGGTAAATGAGGAAAGTCACTGTTTACAACGTTTACTATCTTAAACAGAGCTAGAAAGCTTTTTTAAAATAAAAGCTATAAAGTTGCTAAGGCAACTTTAGCAGTGTTAAGGTTGGTATAGCTAAGCATGTTCAGTAATGTATCCAGACCTGACAATTTTAAGTTTTTGCGTTTTAAAGTATGTGTATAAATAACACCAATTTCAGGATGTTTGGAAAACCAGTCCTTGTCATTCCCTTGTAATCTAGCAGTGGTATCAAGGTTATTTTCATATTCTTCTGACCTTCTGTAATTTTTCCTTAGAAGCAAGCATCCCCACATGCCAGGGGGAACTGCGGCGTTGGCAGACTGGTCACTACACTTTGATCCATGACAATGGCAAGACTGAATTTGCCCTGGACTTACTTCTTTACTGTGGCTGTGAAGGTAGGCGGGGGATGGGAAGCAGTGAGTCGTTCCCTCCCGGGGGCAGCCTGTCCTGCGCGCCCCTCCCCGACTGCACCAGTTCAGAAGTCCTTGCCTGGTCCGGGGTCTCAGGCCACAGGGGCTCAGCGTTGGAAGGCGTCTAAAGGGCTGCGAGTTTTAGCCTCCCAACTCAACACGGGATTTCTGTCTGTGACTAGGGTATGGGAGATGAACCAAACCATAATTTCCCTTCAGGAACTCCCCGCACCCCCATCTACAGCTTTTATGTAATTGTCCTTAAATTGTACATTTAATTCTTAGTTGTCAGTTCTTCTTTAATGTGGATGGAATGGTAAATGGTAAATTCAGGCTCCTAAGTCGTGGAGTTGGTTACTGCTGAACTCCCACATCCCGCATTCATGCAGCCTGGGGTCAGCGGTCGCGGCAGGGGCCGTGATTAACCCTGGCAGCATGGGCCCTCTGAACGCTGTCTGTTTTCCCCTTGCCAGGCTGGGAGCCAGAATACGGCGGCTTTACTTCCTACATTGCCAAAGGCGAAGATGAGGAGGTAAGTTGCTTCTGATAGCAAATGTAACTTTTTAGTTTTAAGGAAGCTTTCATTCTTCAAAAACCCAATTTTGATGACCTTCAATCAGTGTCTTTAACTGGTAAGTCCCCGTTGGCCTGCCTGGCAGTGATCTGATTTCTAGTAGAAAGTACTCGGCATGGAATAAAGATGCTAAAGGATGCTCGCTAAACATTTATTTATTCTACCCTGAGGGCTTCCAAGTAAACTGAGAGTCACATGGTACATTCCCATTAACCTTCAATGTAATAAGAAATAAACGCATTAGGTGAAGCCTGTCTGGGTATATACTGGGGTGGGGTTCGTTGGATGGTGTCTTGACAGCCACAGCAATAGCTCTTCCTCATAAAGGCTCTGTGGAAGCCATCTGTGCGGTGATGAATCATGGGAGCAAAGAGTTGAGAATAAGCTCTATGTTCTGATGTCTCATTGTATTTGCCCATTTCAGCTGCTAACCGTGAATCCAGAAAACAATTCTTTGGCTTTGGTCTACAGAGACAAAGAGACTCTTAAATTTGTCAAGCATATTAATCACCGGAGCCTAGAACAAAAGAAAACCTTCCCCAACAGAACCGGTTTCTGGGACTTCTCGTTTGTCTATTATGAATGACAGGGGCTGGGCACAGCTGAGAAAAAGAGACCCTTCGTCAGCACTGGGAAGTCTGGGAGAGCTGGGCGTCGAGCAGAGGACAGCTGCAGGTGACCTGTCTGACACTGTTCCTCAAACTGCATGTGGTTGTCCTTTAGCAGGACTCACAGCGATGGTCCTCAATCTGGACCTTGAGCTTGGAGATAGATGTGTACTTATCTCTTAATGGGAAAATGTTCCTTTTCCGTTAACATTCGGTTCTTCATTTTTCCATATGGACTTCTTCAGTGATTTAAAAATGTAGATTTTTTTTTTGTAAAACGTACATGACAGAAGTTCACCATTTTAACCACTTTATCATGTGTGGTTCGGTGGCATAAAGCACATTCACTGCTGTATGACCATCACCACCATCCACCTCCAGAACTTTCCATCTTCCCACACTGCAGCTCTGTCCCCCTTCCCCTCCGCCAGCCCCCAGCCACCGCCAGTCTACTTTCTGTCTCCGAATCAGCTACTCATGTTCCTCATGTAAGTGGACTAGTACAATATTTGTCTTTTTGTGACTGGCATATTTCACTTAGCATAAACCCTTCAAGACTCATCCATGTGTCCAGTGATTTTTTTTTTTCTTTAAATACACTCATAAATGATTGCAGATTCTGTTCTTCCTAACGACACGGGTTTAGAAAATTCCAGAATGTCCGTCCCATCCTGGGCCTGCTACACTTCCACCCACTGCTGCGGCTTTGTCCCTCGGTGGCTGTCCCAGGACGCGCACTGACTCTTTTTTAGTTTGCATTTAAACGAAGGACATGAGTTTCACTTTCGTCTCGGTTGATGGTTTCATCTTTTCTTTTTTTAAATCCTCACCCAAGGATATGTTTATTGATTTTAGAGAGGAAGGGAGAAAGAAACATTGATCAGTTGCCTCTTGTACACACCCTTACCAGTGATCAAACTTACAACCTAGGCCTGTGCCCTGACTGGGAATTGAACCCGCGTCCTTTAGGTGTATGAGATAGCGCTCCAGCCAACTGAGCCACCAAGCTATCAGTTATTTGATTGTGCACCCCAGTCAGTAGAAATTGTTGTTGCATGTGTGCCCAATATATGGATATTTATCTGTAAATTTTATATGTGCTGATATTCGGTATTGTTATAAAACAGATTTTTAAAAGATGACAAATACCTAAGACTAGTTCTACTATTCCCTTTCTACACTCACACAATAATGGGCGATTTCACATGCATACAATTTCGGAGACCACAATTTTTAAACCATAGTGTAGTGACACTCAGGTGAGATTACAGCTACTCTCTCATTACTGATTTACATTTCAGAGCTGAAAGTCACCCCTAAATTCCATTCACTTACTTCCTGATGTGTTTTCCCGAGTGGGAGAGGGAGAGGTCGAGGTCCTAGTTAGGCCTGGCAGCGGCAGAAGCCCGGGAAGCCCCGGGGAAAGGGCTGGGCGGGTGAGACCATGGTGTGTCAAACTCGGGGAGCAGCTTGAGAGTCAAGGCTCTAGGGAACTTCTAAGAGGCCACCCAGCTCTGCCAATGGAACACTGAGCCTGAATCTTGACGCACTACCCCAGTGTTAAAATGTGCTCATTATTTTCTCTTTAATCTCAGTGTGTTCACGTTCTATCCACACAGCAGAATCTTCTGCACGTTACAAAAGATTTCACTGCTGAGGGCCGTGAACCCCTGAGAGCCAGACTCTGCTGTTGCTGGGAGATACATCCCCCGCAGTAGCGCCTCTTAGACTGCAAGGATGCTGTAGCTTAGAGGCCGCTTTCTGCAAGTGGTACCCAGAGATTGAGAAGCTGCTTTTCCTTAGTACTCCAGTCTTCATCTTTTTTTTTTTTAATAAATCATGTTTATTCTGTTATAGTTGTCTCAATGTTTCCCCCTTTACCCCCCTTCACCTCTCTCACCCCCACTCCCGACTCCCACAGCCAATTCCCACTCTGTTGTCCATGTCCATGGGTCATTCATACATGTTTGTCTAGTCCCTTCCCCTTCTTTCCACCATTGTCCTCTTTCCCCATGCCCTCTGGTCACTTTCAGTCTGCTCCATGTTTCCATGTCTGTGGTTAATTTTGTTCATTAGCTTATTTTGTTGAATAGAGTCCACTTACAGGTGAGATCATATGGTATTTGTCTTTCATCAACTGGCTTATTTCACTTAGCTTAATAATCTCCAGTTCTATCCATGTTGTCGCAAAAGGTAGGAGTTCCATCTCTCTCTCTTTTTTTCTTTCTAAATACTGATTGATTTTATTTTTTTAAACGTCAAAGTTAATTATAAAATATTTAAAAATTTAAAACCATTATAAAGTCTCAATAATTAAACCAACATGACACCAGCACAGAAATAATCAAGTAGATCAATGAAATATATTGAGCATTCTAGAGACAAACATATATATTGGTCTAACAATGTAATATATGATTAAGTTGATATTTCAAATCAATGGGTAAAATAAGACTTATTTAACAACGTGCATGGACCAGTTACTTGAAATAAAAAAATTTAGAGCCCTATTTTTACACAATACACAAGAAATATTCAGGTGAGTTAAAAATCAATATGTACAATCTAAGGACTTTTAGGAGAAAATACAAACTAACACCTTTCTTACCCTGAAGTAAAATATTCAAACCCAGAAGCTGCACAGTAAAATATTGACAATATGACTATATTAAACATTTAAGACTGTACAGTAAAATACATATAAAAAAGTTAAAGGACAAAGAATAGGACAGTATTTGCAACATCTAAAAAAGGGTTAATGGGGGGGGTCTTGTTTTTTTAGGGAAAAAATTCTACGAACAAAAAATGGATAAAGAATACCAAAAAATCATTTAAAGCTTTTTAAAAATAATAGAAATAGGCAAGAAATATACAAAAACAGGTTTAGTTTCAACAAATATTAAAGGAACAATTAAAATAACATCATTGTCACAATCAGATTAATACGTATTAAAAAATATTGGTAATATCAAGTATTGGCAACTGTGAAAGGAACTAGGTATTCATACACTCTTTTTCTTCATCTTAAAGCAGTCCCTTTAGCACCTTTTGCAGTACTGGTTTGGTGGAGGTGTATTCTTTTAACCGTCTTTTGTCTGGGAAACTCCTTATTTCACCTTCCATTTTATTTGAGAGCTTTGCTGGGTAGAGCAGTCTTGGTTGCAGTCCTTTGCTTTTCATGACTTGGACTATTTCTTGCCACTCCCTTCTGGCTTGCAGTGATTCTGTTGAGAAGTCAGCTGCTAGCTGTATTGGGGCTCCCTTATATGTTACTACCTCTTTCTCCCTTACTGCCTTTAGGATTTTCTGTCTTTGATATTTGTCATTTTAATTATGATGTGTCTTGGAGTGGGCCTCATTGGATTCCTCTTGAATGGGACCCTCTGTGCTTCCTGGACTTGTGTGACTTTTTCTCTCCTCAAATTAGGAAAGTTTTCCATCATTACTTTTTCAAACAGGTTCTCTATCCCTTGCTCCTCCTCTTCTCCTTTTGGTGTCCCTAGTATACGAATATTATTACATTTCATGTTGTCCTGCATTTCCCTAAATGCCTCTTCATTCTTTTTGAGCCTTTTTTATTTTCTTGCTCCTTCTGGGAGCTTTTTTCTACCTTGTCCTCCAGCTTGCTGATTCGATCCTCAGCTTCATCTAGCCTGCTTTTGATTTCTTCCACTGTGTTCTTCAATTCAGAAATTGTACTCTTCATTTCCTCTTGTCTCTTCTTGATAGTTTCTGTGTCCTTTTTCATGCTGATATAGTTTGCAGTAAGTTCCTCATAGTTTCCCTGTAGTTCTTTGTAATTCTTTCTGAGCTCATTGAGCTTCCTTAGAACCATTGTTTGGAACTCAATATCTGATAGTTTACTTGCCTCTATTTCATTTAGTTCTCTTTCTGGGGATTCCTCCTTTCCCTTCAAGTGGGGGATATTTCTTTGTCTTCCCATTATTTGTGAGACTCTTCTTTTTTGTTTCTGCTTCTTAAGTTGATCTGTCTTGATTTCCTGACTTTGTGGTGTGAACTTCTATGGTAGGAGACCGCTGTTTTTTCTTTCTGGATCTGCCTCTGGTGATGTCAGATGTTGACCCTGTCTGACCTTAGGCAGTCTGTTCAAGACTTCCAGGAATCTACTTTCTGTGACTCTCCTTCAGCTGTTAATCTAGTCACTCTGCACTCAGTAGGCCAGGTTAGACACCCAGGGTGGGGCTATCATGTCCTCTCACGCTGCTGCTGTGTGGGGGATGAGTCAGCACTGGGATCCCGCCGGCTACTCTCTCCATTCTCTCCCCAAAGCCTCCGTCCCCAGTCTCTCCTCAAGTGTCTCTAGACCTCTCTGCACCCCTTTTAGCCAGGGATATACTCTCTGTGGCTGCCACTCTGTGCTCAGCAGGCAGCTTAGACAGCACAGGGTGGGGTGGAATCCCACCTGGGGGCAGGGCTATTGGGTCCTCTGACGCTGCTGCCGCCCAGGGGGAGTGGTCTCTGCCTGACCAAGATGGCCGCTGCTGTATGGGGATGAGTCAGCACCGAGATCCCGCCTGCTACTCTCTCAGTTCTCTCCCCAAAGATTCCATCGCCAGTCTCTCCTCAGGCATCTCCAGCCCACTCTGCCCCTACCTTTGCCAGAGACCAAGGTAAGTGGCTGCAAATAAAAATTTATGCATTGGCCCTTTAAACGGTTCTTTGCGTCTCTAGCTGGCTGTCTGTGGCAGAGAGCAACCCTGCAGCTTTTCACAGCTGGCTGTGTTCTGTGTACTTTTTGGGCTCTGGTGCTGTAGGCTGGAGATCCCTGCTTATGATTTAGACCCTGCTCTTCTCAGGGGGACCCAACAAGCCATTTCAATATCCTTCTGGTGCTGCCGCCTGTGGTTGCCCCACCCGCCTTCTCAAGTCTCTACTGTACTCCCTACCAGTGTTTAGGTTGTGTTAAAGCTGATTCTTCTGTCTGTCCGAGGTTATAAGGCTCCTCTCTCACTATTGTTCAGTTGTTTGTTCCAGGTGATTTCTGCACAATTTAGTTGTAATTCCAGGTTGGTCCTGGGAGGAGGTCAGTGTGACTTCCTCTCACTCCTCTGCCATCTTGATTCTTCTTCATCTTGATTTTTAGGGCCTAGAGCCAACGTTGACAACTAAGCAGCAAAGAGGAAATAAGCAAAGGCATCCTTTTTCTACTTCTTTCAGATAAAAGCTGTGGTGTTCACCCCTGTAACGTATGGCATCTTCTCTCTTAAGGCTTAATAGTGAACCTCAAATTCTTAATAATTCCTTTTGGTAAAGGAAGATTTTTTCCCTCAGAGAATAGCTCTATGTTTTTCAGATTATATAAATAATACATGCTCATTGTAAAGAAAGCAACGTGTAAAAATACAAAGTAACGGTCACCCGTAACCCCACCGTCTTGCAGCAGCCACGGTGTGCCGTGTCCCCTTGGCCAGACTGGACCGCATTCCTCAGGACTCCCTCCCCCACGTTTCACTTAGAATGAGCCACAAACTCTTAGGCAAGATTCGGAGGGCGTTGTAGCTCACACACGTTTTCACGTATCTACTGGCTCGCCTCGTTGGTATCGGGGCACTGGGGCCAGCAGCCGATCCACTTCTGTGCGCCTTCCTTCAGCTTCCCTGATGAAGGGTCTCAGCTTCTGCAGGACGCCCACATCAAGGTCGGGGTCCAGAAAGGACCCAGAA